TGTCTATGTCCATTTATAGTCCTCATGAGTTTAGTTAGGACCAGGAATAAATGCAGATCTTAATTATCATGGGAGTTGTTTAAAATTTATTCTAGACCAAGCCCCTGCCTTGGCCTCCTAGGTACTTCTTACCTCACCTGGGACCATCTGTGGATATCATCAAAACTGCAGTTTAAACGCATCCCAGACTGGCTCTTCTTATATTACAACTTCCCACGCAGTTGAATACTAGAACTCAATTTACAGTTTTTTGTGTTCAGACCTTACTGAATTTTGATTGCTGTCTCAGGTATGGTTTTGTTTTATTTTTGGTGTGTTAAATCAGAATCATCAAGGTCTAGTAAAGAGAACAAAACCCATGTTAAATAGTTCATTAGAAGTTTAATGTAGGGAAATAATTAGTTACAGAGATGCTGTAGGGGCTTTAAAAAAGTGCTAATGAGGCTACCCAGAATGCAACAACTACAAGAAGCTACTACTGCCCAGGAGGCTGGAGGAACAGAGAAGAGATGGTATTATCTGAATAGCAGCCAGATCTACCCTGTGGGAAAAGGAAAGGTGGCAGGAGGGAACTGACCACAAAGGGGAATGTCCAGGTAGGAGCTGGAACCACAAAAGAGATACAGCCATTCCCGAAGCAGAAAAGAGAGAAACACCTTGGGTTCTCCCCTTCCCAAATTTCCATCTCCTGCCAGGAATTTCCAAAGACTGAGCATAACCATAAGGCAGCAGGTGAGGGAGCCTGGGAAATGTAGAGTATTCCCTTGGGATTCAAAGCAAAGAAAGGCAGAGAATAGATCTAAGAGAAAACATGCAAATGACCTGTACAAGAATTGAAAAGGGAAATACAAATCACCAATGAACACTGAAAACTATGTTCACAATTATAGTCCTCATGAGTTTGCCACTTAACCTTTTTTTGCAGTAAAAAAAAAGGTAAGTGGCAAAAAATTTGTGATCAGGGAAATGCCATTTCAAACCAAAATGAGATACCATTTACCCCACACGAAAGTTTTAAAATGCCAAGATAATGAAAATACTCAGCAATGCCAAGACCAGTTTGGCTCAGTGGATAGAGCGTCGGCTTGGGGACTGAAGGGTCCTGGGTTCGATTTCGGTCAAGGGCATGTACATTGGTTGTGGGCACATCCCTAGTGGAGGGTGTGCAAGAGGCAGCTGGTCGATTTTTCTCTCTCATCGATGTTTCTAGCTCTCTATCCCTCTTCCTTCCTCTCTGTGGAAAATCAATAAAATATATATTTAAAAAAAAGAAGCAGAAAAAAAATGCTCAGCAATGTGAATGACTGTCTACACCACTGGGAGTGCAAATTGGAGCACACATTGGCATTGTCTAATAATGTTGATGCTAAATTGTCTAATAATGTTGATGCTAAACATTCCTTATGCTCAAGGAATTCCATTTCTAAGAATATACCCTCAGGAACATCTAGCAATGTGCACCAGGAAACATGAACAAAAATGGTCACAGAGGCATTGTTAAGGACAGCACACTACCCAACTGGAGCCTACCAAGTGTCCACCAACACGAGAATGGATAAAGTGTGCTTTATCTTATAATGGAACATCGGGTAAAAATGAATGAACTATAGGAACACACACCAACACAAATAAATGTCATGTGCATGATTTGCTGCAAAAAAGGTAAGTGGCAAAAAAAAACACAACAAAAACAAATCAAAACACAACTTGAAATGATCCTGTTTACGTAAAAATAAAAAATATGCAACGTTGTAGATAATGTGTAAGGGATGTATCAGATATTGGAAAACTGGAAAAAAGAATGATAAACAATTTAGAGGAGTGGCTCCTTCTGTATGGGAGTAAGTAAGGTACATATATGATCTGGAAGAGGCCAACAAACATAGCTACTCTGGTTTAAATCTGATATATTTTATAATTAAAAACATGACTTTAGCCGAAACTGGTTTGGCTCAATGGATAGAGCGTCGGCCTGCGGACTGAAAGGTCCCGGGTTCGATTCCGGTCAAGGGCATGTACCTTGGTTGCGGGCATATCCCCAGTAGGGGGTGTGCAAGAGGCAGCTGATCGATGACTCTCATCGATGTTTCTAACTCTCTCTCTCTCTCCCTTCCTCTCTGTACAAAATCAATAAAATATATTTTTAAAAAAATAAAAAATAAAAAATAAAAACATGACTTTAAATGTCCTAAAAACTCATTTTCCCTCTCCCTAAATGTAACTGAGAATAAAATAATACTAACACACATTCATGCAAATTTCCTAAGTCAGATTTCCATCTTGTTATCTTCACTTGTGGTTATTGACCTTAGCCACGTCATCTTTCTTGTCTGCCTTATCTGCCTTTGTAAAATGAGGATAATAGTGGTATCTTCATAGGATGATTGTTAGATAGCAGAGCACATGGGAAATGCTTAGCACAGTGGCCAGGCATCCAGTGAGTGGCAGAGATCAGTCATTTTGCTCACAGCACTGCCTCGGCTTGGAATCTCCTCCCCACCACCTCTGTCTACTGAGTTACTCCACCAAGGATCCGAGTAAAATGAAGGTGCCACGTACCAGTGTGTAGAAGGGTTCATTTGCCTGAGAAGGTAACAACTGTGCTTAGTGAGAAACTATTGCAATATAATGAAAGCGGGATCGCCTTCCTTTCACTGCTGATAGCGCTCGCAAACATGGTGAATGTTCCTAAAACCCGCCGAACTTTCTGTAAGAAGTGTAGCAAGCATCAACCCCACAGAGTGACACAGTACAAGAAGGGCAAGGATTCTCTGTATGCGCAGGGAAAGCGGCATTATGACAGGAAGCAAAGTGGCTATGGTGGGCAGACTAAGCCTATTTTCCGAAAAAAGGCTAAAACTACAAAGAAGATTGTGCTGAGGCTTGAATGCGTTGAGCCTAACTGCAGATCTAAGAGAATGCTGGCTATTAAGAGATGCAAGCATTTTGAACTGGGAGGAGATAAGAAGAGAAAGGGTCGAGTGATCCAGTTCTAGAGTGTCATATTTTGTTTTATTATATGACAATAAAATCATGATATATTAAAGAAAGAAAGAAAGAAAGAAAGAAAGAAAGAAAGAAAGAAAGAAAGAAAGAAAAAAGGGAAGCTCGTGTGGCCTTAGGCTAAGGCCGGAGCTCTAAGAATTCATTGATTCAGTAGTATTTATTGAGAGCTTACTCTGAGGCAGGCCTAGTACTCAGTGTTCAGGACATGATCATACAGAATATGAGACTGATGCCCTCAATGAGCTCCAACCTGGGCAGGATCAGAAAGGCAAGCGGCAATAGATGCGGAGGGATCCGGGCAGCAGCAGAGTCTCTTACTCAGAACTTGCTTTCCACTGCCCATTCCCTGAAGAATCAAGTCAAAGTCTTTACTTCATATTCAAGGCACTTCAAAAAATAGCCACAACTCGCCTTTCTGCCTTTCTGCCGAGATCCCCACCACAGCGGCTTTCAATTACACAAGCACACATGCTTTGGGCAGAGCAGCCGCAATGGACTCAACTGTCTTCTGACGCTGCGTTACATTTTTCCACCTGCTGTGCCTGGCCAAACTCCTACCCATTACCCATGCTTCAAGGCCTTGTCCAGTCTCCCTATTCATTCTGCCCTGTGTTACTGTGTGTGCGCCTCATTATTCCAGTACAGTAGGTCCTCCCATTGCATCAGAGATCTGCTCTTACCGCTACGAAAAGGCGATTTTTCTCTGTAAGCTACCTCGCTCACATGGAGCACATACACAGCAGTAATGAAGTGAAACAGTAAGACAAATTTAAAAGAAAGATAACAATTCCTGACTTTTACTTGTGGTAAATAAATAATAATAATAAAACATAAAGCACATATGTACATACATCGAAATGACGAGACTTTAAAAAAAAAATAAATGAATGGGAGATGGTGACATAACCACGAAACGGCGAACGGCGAGTCTGACGTTCTGTCTGTACTCAGCAAGTTTGAGAGGCAGGGATGTCCTTTTATCTTATCCCCGCGATGGCAAGGGCTCAACGTTTCTGCCAAACTGAAAAGGGGAAGTCTGGAGGAAGAGCAGAGCCAAGGGAGGGTTGGTGCCATCAGCAAAGCCTTGCAGTTGGAATCGGGAAGACAGTCTAGCTGCTCACCTTTTGGAAGGGCAGGGACGGAAGCCACCTTAAGCACACACCAGGTGCTCAGTAAACACGGGTTTAAAAATACAGGACCTTCATTTCCAGGCACCTTTGGTCACCCTGTTTATAATGATAGCAGTTCCCACGGGGAGAGAATGAATCCTACCATCACCATGGCCAGTTTGGGGCGCAGACTTTCACGCTCCCAGTGGATTATTATTATTGGTTATTATTATCATCATTAAATCTTACTTGCAAATATCAGATGGTCACAAAGCCTCAATCATCTTGGAAGTATGGTAGGGTCACTGGAATAAGTTCTTGCAACTTCTGGTCAACTGCGGCAGCTTGCGTTGCCTCACCTCTGTTTGCTCTACCCAAATGCGCAAGACGTTGCCAAGGACGACTGAACCCTCCGGCTTGACCGCAGCTGCACCACAGCGGATGTACATTTCCTCCTCGGGAGGACGAGAGGATGCAGTTGCTCTTCTAACCGAGCCGTGACGCGAAGAAACCGCCTGTGACAGGAGCGTGGGGCAGAAGACAAGTCCTGAGCTGATCGAACCCAGCCCCTGGGGCAGGGCCAAGTCCCAGCCAGCCGCGTCTCTGGGACCTGACTGATCTGGGGCCAGGACCCCCCCAACCCGGCCGTCTGCACGGCTCAGCCAGTCGGCGCGCGAGAACGTCCCGCCTCCCCGCGGGCCCGCCCGCCACAGGTGCGCACAGCGCCTCCGAGGTCCTCGCCCCGCCCAGCCCCGCCCAGCCCCGCCCGGGGAACCCAACTCAGGGTGATCTGATTGGCTGAGAGGGCAGGGGGCATGGCCAGAGCGCCCCGGGAGCCTGAGGACGAGGGCGCTGGTGGGCAGGTTGGGCGCACCAGAAAGGCTGGGTGCCACCTGCGCCCGAGCACCCGGTGGGGCCGGCTCAGGATGAGGACGCTCTGGGCGCCCCCTCGCCGCGCGGCGCAGCTCCTCGTGCTGCTCCTTTGGTGCTTCGAGCTGGCGGAGCCCTTGGGCCGCGCAGGTAACCGGGGTGGGTGCGTCCGCCAGCCAGCCAGCCAGCTGGCGGGGGGGCCTCGACGCTGCCAGGGCAGCTGGCCTCCCTCGGTTCCGCTTAAGGCTGAGCTCCAGGATCCCGTCATCTCTGCTTTGCTCACAGGGTCTGGGGCCGGACAGGGGAGCTGAAGGAGAGGTCTGGGGAGTAGGTGCTCCTCTGCGCTCGGTCGAGGTGGCGGGGACTGGAGGATGGCGGCGTGGGGCGTGGGAAGGCCGGGCCTTTCCGGAGGAGCCGAGGGCTGGGAGCCCAGCCTAGGGGAGGCGCGGAGGCTTTTCTGGGTCTTCTCTCCCCCGCCTCCCTCATCCTCTCTCCTCCAACTTGCTTCCCTGGAGTATAGGGCTTCTCACTCAATACTCCTCCCGCCCCATCCCCTTGATCACTTTTGCCACTTAGAGAGCCCAGGGGCACTCTCCACCCACAGCGCCAAGGATGAGTAATGATTTCCCGACTTCATCACCGTGCCCAGGGATGCACGTGGAAGGAAGTCAGGTTAAGCCATGTCTCTGGAAATGATCAGGGGAGGACTGCTATGATGTCCTCCCCTCAGTGCCTGGAGCAGCAGCCCTTTCTCCTCCTGGGTGTGTCACTCCCAAAGGCTCACCATGAGCCTCCCGCTGGAGGTCAGGTCGCCTGATGGTGTTAGCCTCACCCATCCCCCTTGGCAGCGACTGGAGCTTGCTTTCACTTTCTCTTTTTGCCTTGGCAAAGCTGTGCCAAAGACTTTGTGAGTCCTCACTCACCGCTTATCTTTGCTTGTAAGAGGAAGTAAAAGATGGTCAAGGGAATTTTTTGAAAACTTCACAGTGCGTGTGGATCTAGTTTTATTTGCAGCTGAACTAAGTTTCCATCCAAGTTGGACTTTTTTTTTCAGAAGACTGTTGGGAAGAGGTTTCTCAAAGTGTCAGTGACATCACCCTGCCCACCACCAGGACCCTTTTCTGCTTCCCACTTCTCCATTCTTCTTTGACCCTCTCTGTGTTGGAAGCTACCAAAAGTCCTTTACTGCTGTGAGAATTCTCATCAAGCCTGCCCCGCAATCCAGGGAGAACATTTTTTACTGCAGCAACTAACTTACAGTGTAACACACTCACCTTTGAGTCACTAAACTCTTGGTTTCTATCTACATCTGCTGTAGCCGGATCTATTTTGTCTCTCTGACTGAATCTGGCAAACTCGACAATCCCTGGCCTTTCTCATCAACCCCAAGCAAAGAGCAAAGGGTTAAGTGCAACCACCCTGCACTAGGTCCCCATTTGTTTTCTTGGATCCTTCCTCCCCGTTAGCAACAGCTGCTGGGGTTGGCTTTCTCACACCCTCAGACAAGACTCGTGGTCCTATTCAACGCTGGAAACCCCAGCCATTTCCGTAGCTTGCCTGGCAGTGCGTCAGCTTCACAATGCTGCTGACCGCATACATCCCATCACATGTTGGCTAGATGTGTGCAGGTGGTCTCGGTTGCTCAGATGCTGGAGGAGTACCTCAGCGTTCTTGGGGAGGTGCCAATGGGTTCGTTTACCTTTTTTGCCTCATTGGAGAGCTAACAGCCTGAAGTAAACTAATCCTTCAGGAACTGCTGAGGCTCTCTCTCATCAGCACACAACATTCAATCTGTGCTCCGTGACTTTCTGACTTCTGGTAAACTGCCATCATATTCAGAACCTGTTTTGAACCGGCAAACGCAGACCTCTCCTTGCCTCCTGCTGCACCTGAACACTGCACACATGATTCTGTGACTCAAAAAAAATGCCCAACCACGCGGGCTGTGGGAATTTCCCTAGAATTAAAAAAGCTGCAGCCTTTACCCTCTGGCCTTCCCAAGCAGCTCCCTCTCTCCATTTGACTGTAGTTATACAATGTTGACGTCCAGCTTCTCTTTGGAATGGGCAAAGCTCTTTGGTTTAGACTATAGGAATGAGTTAATGGCCAGACAATAAGAATAGTTTTCCGTTGATAAATGTGAAAATATTAAACATTCATTTTCAGTTTATGATAATGCTACATATCCCTTTCCTCTCAAACACCACTAGAATGTTTATATAAAATGAAGCATACAGAAAGTGCTACTAGGAGGGTAATGAGGCTTCTTTTTATCAACCTCTGCCATTTAGACGTGTCCCAATATTATGTTTGGAGAGAAACATTAAAATTTCATTTCGGACCAGCATCAAGTTGTTAAGTGAACAAGATGCAATATAAAGCTATTAATAAAGGATCGTTTTATAAAAAATAAATAAATTAAATAAAAATAAATAAATAAATAAATAAATAAAGGGTCGTTTTTGTAAATTGCTCTATATCTTTTCAAAGTGTAATGCATTTCTGAAATATTTTGTTCACCTTTATTTAACAAACTTGCTAAATAAGAAATTATTTTCACACTTTCTCAGTCCTTCTCACTCTTCAACCTACGATCCCAGTAGAGTCACAAGCTGAGGCAGATTGAACAGCTCCTGTTAAGGGTAAGGGAGGATGGGGCCATATCATAAGGCGACAAGACTCTCCCTAGCTTATATATTGTGAATGAATGTGTATACATTATGCATGAAGGCAAATAACAAGTTTCCTTAAATCATATCAATAATTAATGTCTATGCTAAGTGACCAGTATAGATGTGAAACATTGATGTTTATTTTATTTTACTTATTTTTTCCATCCTCACTTTCCTCCTCTATGCCCTCTTCTCCTCCATCCACCCCAACCTCATCCCATCCCCCCACAATCACCACATTGTTCATGAGTTCTCTCATTTTTTAATCTTTTTTTTGCTCAAACCCTGCACACCCCTTTCCCCAATACTCCCTCCCAATCAGAGTTGTTTGCCTGCTATCTATCTATGAGTCTGTTTTGCTTGGTAGTTCAGTTTGTTCATTAAATTTCACATACGAGTAAAATTATATGGTAATTGTTCTGTGACTAGCTTTTTCACTTAGCATAACGTTCTCCTGATCCATCCATACTGTCGCAAAGATTAAAATATTATTCCTTCTTAGTATTCTATTGTGTAAATTTACCAAAGTTTTTTTATCCACTCATCTACTGATGGATACTTGGGCTGCTTCCAAATCTTGGCTATTGTAAATAATACTGCAATGAACATGTACAGAGAAAGGGGAACCCTTGTGCACTGTTTGTAGGAATGCAGATTGGTACAGCCACTGTAGAAAGAAATATGGAGTTGCCTAAAAAAAAATAAAAAATAAAAAGATGGAACTGCCTATGACCAAGTGATTACACTTCTGGGAATTAACCCAAAGAAACCCAAAACACTAATTCAAAAAAATATATGTACTCAACATTGATGTTTATACTAGGGTAAGAGACAAGTTTAGAATGAGCAAGTAGCTAGAAACTTAGGTGTTGCAATTAGGTAAGAAGCTTGGCAACTCCTCTTTAGCATAGCTGTTCCATGCTACTTACTGTATCAAGCCTCCCAGAATCCCAGAAATAAATGGAAAAGGGTACATATTTCTTCTTTTCTGAAGAGCATTTGTAAAGCATCACTGTCACCTAAGTGACATTAGTATGACATAATAAAGTTGTGGACATTGGTTCAAGACCAATATGCAGTGTGTACTCCTATGTTCGTGGCAGTATTATTTGCAATAGCCAAGATTTGGAAGCAGCCTAAGTGCTCAAAAATAGATGAGTAGATAAAAAAAGTGATGGAAGGAGACTCAACTTTGAATGATAAACACAATACAATATATAAATGATGTATTATATAATTATATATTTGAAACATACATAATTTTATTAACCTGTGTCACCCTAATAACTTCAATAAAAATTATTTTTATTGTTTAAAGTATTACATATGTCTCCTTTTTTCCCCATCCTGGTCACCCCCACCCACAGAATAAGCCCCACCACCCCAGTGTCTATCCATTGGTTATGCTGATACTAGTATGCATGCAGACAAGTCCTTTGGTTGATCTCTTACCTCACCCCACCTTCAACCTCCCCTGCCTTCCCTCTGAAGTTTGATGTTCCGTTTGGTGTTTCTCTGTCTTTTGAATCTATTTTTGTTCATCAACTTATGTTGTTCATTATATTCCACAAATGAGTGAGATCCTATAATATTTATCTTTCTCCGACTGCCTTATTTTGCTTAGCATAATGCTCTCCAGGTCCATCCATGCTAATGCAAATGGTAAAAGTTCCTTCTTTTTTTATAGCAGAGTAGTATTCCATTGTGTAGATGTATCACAGTTTTTTAATCCTTTCATCTGCTGATGGGCACTTAGGCTGTTTCCAAATCTTAGCTATTGTAAATTGTGCTGCTATGAATAAAGAGGGTGCATATATCCTTTCTGATTGGTGTTTCTGATTTCTTGGGATATATTCCTAGAAGTGGGATTACTGGGTCAAATGGCAGTTCCATTTTTAACCTTTTAAAGAAACTCCATACTGTTTTCCACAGTGGCTGCAACAGTCTGCATTCCCACCAGTAGTGCACAAGGGTTCCTTTTCTCCATGTCCTCATCAGTATTTGCCCTTTGTTGATTTGTTGATAATAGCAATTCTGACAGGTGTGAGATGGTCTCATTGTTGTTTTGATCTGCATCTCTCAGATGATTAGTGACTTTGAGCATTTTTTTCATATGTGTCTTGGCCTTCTCTATGTCCTCTTTCGAAAAGTATCTATTTAGGTCCTTTGCCCATTTTTGATTGGATTGTTTATCTTTCTTTTGTTAAGTTGTAGGAGTTCCCTGCAAATGTTGGAGATTAAAGCCTCATCAGATATAACATTGGCAAATATGTTCTCCCATGCAGTGAGTGGGCTTCTTGTTGTTTTGTTGATGGTTTCTTTTGCTGTGCAGGAGCTTTTTATTTTGTTGTAATCCCATTTATTTATTTTTCTCCTTAGTTTCCATTGCCCAAGTAGCTGTATCAGTAAAGATATTGCTATAGCATGTATCTGCTATTTTGTTGCCTGTGGGTTCTTCTAAGATTTTTATGGTTTCCCATTTTATGTTTAAGTCCTTTATTTATTGTGAGTTTATTTTTGTGTATGGTGAAAATTAATGGTCTAGTTTAATTTTTTTTCATGTATCTGACCAATTTTCCCAACATCATTTATTAAAGAGACTGACTTGATTCCATTGTTATTGAACAAAATGGCTTGGGTCGATTTCTGGGTTCTCTGTTCAGTTCCATTTTGATCTATATGTCTGTTCTTGTGTCAGTACCAGGAAGTTTTGAGAACAGTGGCTTTGTAATATAGCTTGATATCTGGTACTGTGATCCCTCCAACTTTATCAATAAAAAAAATTTTTTTTTGAAGAACAATATGCAATGAACTTAGCAAAGTTCATTGCATATTGTTCTTCATGCAAGGCTAGGAAAACTGTTATCCTCTGGAAGCATATGATGTTAGAATTAGAAGTGGATTTGATACCTTATGCTCTACTACTTTCATCTTACATTTGGAGATATGATGACCCTGGGGAGATTAAGTGACTTCCTGAGGTCTCCTGGCTAACTGGTAGCAGAGATAGGTCTTTAATCTAGGATTCCTAACTCCTTATTCCACTGCCACTGCACTGAAAGCCACAGCTAATCCTTTGGATTTGGCAGAGGCAACCTGAAAAATCTAGAACTCCAAGCCACCAAGATAGACAAAGCTGTTCCATGTCCTGTTCGCCTGATGGGGGTTGAGGGGCACAGAGCTGAGTGCCCAGGAAAGAAAGCAGTGAGGCCACAGCAAAAGGTGGCGGCCACCTGTGTTTTGTAGGAGCAGACTTCTTTTTTCTGCAGTAACTCCTGATACCTTGGAACACCAGATTTATTTTAGAGAGGTGAGAGAGAATCCTGTATAATAAAAGCCTAGGTGGCATCATGCCCTGGCGTCATGCCCTTGTGTGATGTTGTCACAAGATGGCTGCCACAAGATGGCCGTGCACACAGCAGAGATGGGGCCTAGTGGCCGCTCCATGTGGTGAGGCCTTGGGGTCCCATGACTCTGTGAGGCACAGAGGAGGCCAGTACAGCGAAAGAGGCAGGTCAAGGAAGGGGTGGGCAGTTGTGGGCAATCAGGCCAGCAGGGGACGGTGGTTGGGGGCAATCAGGTCAGTAGGGGAGCAGATAGGCATCAATCAGGCTGGCAGGGGAGTGGTTAGGGGGCAATCAGGCAGGCAGGCAGGTGAGCAGTTAGGAGCCAGTGGTCCCAGATTGTGAGAGGGATGTCCAACTGCTGGTTTAGATCCACTCCCACAGGGGTCCCCGATTGGAGAGTGTGCAGGCTGGGTTGAGACACTCTCCCATGCATGAATTTTGTGCACTAGGCCTCTAGTAGTTTAATAAAGAGCTGCATCCTAGGGTTGAGTGGCTATTGGAAATGTGGGAGGAGGGCTTTAAAGAAAGTGCGAGTGATAATCTTCTAAGATAGTATGTTTTCTTTTTTTTTTTTTTTACTATCTTCCCAAACTGTGTCCACAAAGTAGAGAATGACAAGAGTGATGTCAAGGGAGAAAGAGTGAGGGCAATCGTACTTAGCTTCAACCCTATGCTATATTTTAAAATACAGATTTCAAAGCAGAAATAACAAAGTTTTAAATGATTTTGTTGTTCCTATCATTTCTTTTGTAGCTGCTACTGCTATTTAAACAAAAAGCTCTGTCCAAAGTTCAAACTGGAACTGGACTTAATTCTATAGTTTATTATTTACATAGTTAGATCCCCCCTCAAGTCCTTTGAATGAAAATGTGTCACTCTGAAAGTTGGTGAATTATTATTAGACAAGTTGTTTAATATTAGTCAAATAAGTGATTATGAAACTGGCATCAAAATGAAAGTGCCTTTTGGGAACTAAAATTTTAGAGGTCCTTCTGCTGAATATTTTGGTTCATTGATCATGATTATTTAAATTTTTCAGAACTATTTCAGCTTTACTCTCATCAACATGAAGTGATGTGCTATAACTTTAAAAAAAACGTTTCTTTGTAAAAAGCACTGATCAAATTGTTCAGTTGTAGATTGTTGTAACAAATGTGAATCTTGCTCCACAAACTTAGGCGTGCAAAGAAACAAGCATTTTTTAAATTTTCATAATAGCAAATTACATTTTATTCAGAGGTCCCATTTCCCCAGGTTAACAGCATTTCGGTTTCTTTGTTACTGCCGACTTCCCCAGCTCATGCAAAACTGCTGGGAGCGTTCAAGGAGGTTCCTCTCTTTCACCTTCAGCTCAACACTGGTTAGTTCTGAATTTTCCATTGTCCCATCCTACCGGGTCTTAAATCCTGTGGCTCAGATGATTGCTGAGGCTCAGATTTGGGATCCCACGGTGACCTACACTGTAAGCCTCCTACCCTCAGTCCCTCCCCAGGGTTTCCCTTCACCTTCCTGGAGGTGCTGTGATGGAGTTGGCCAAGGTTCCCCTCTTCCATCAGAACCAGAGCTCCATCTCCTCTGGACCCTCAGAATCTGCCCTTCTTCTCCTCTGAGACACATCAATGACATGTAGTAATTTACCTCTGAGACTCATCAATGGCATGTAATATTTCACCTGCCGTAGTAAAGTGAAAGCAAGACAGAGTTGTCCAGAATTTTTCATTGACAGTAAACCACCTGTCTTAAGGAAATGGAAACTAAGGAGTTTCCTTATCTTGTTAAACAAAGGAAGATAAGTATTTCCTGGAATAATAACAATAGACATACTATTCTAAGTGCTTTGTGTGTATAAGCTCATTTCATCCTCACATCTACTGTATGAAGTACTGTTTTTACAACAGAAGAAACTGAGGTATAGCAGTCAAATAACTTAGCTTGATCACATGACTAGCAAGTAGCAGAGACAGACTGAATTCAGGCCGAGGGGCCCTAGAGCCCAGGCTCGTTCCACACACCATTCTGCCTTACTGGCCACCACTGTCCTCTGACCTTGTAGTACCTTACAGTTTATACAGTGTGGAGGGTAGGAACGGTCCCAGGGTGCTCACACTCTCACCAGCCAGCAGGGGCCAAGGCACATGGGCCACATAATTCAGAATCCTGAAACATCTCCTTTGTCTGTCTTGACTCAGGGAATGATCCATTCACCATCGTCAACGAAAACACGGGCCAGTGTATCAAGCCCCTGAATGACTGGATAATAGCCAAGGAGTGTGACCAAGCAGAGGACATGTTGTGGAAGTGGGTGTCCCAGCACCGGCTCTTTCACTTGCAATCCCAGAAGTGCCTTGGCATTGATCTGACCAAGCCCACGGACTCCTTGAGGATGTTCAACTGCGACTCCAGAGCCATGCTATGGTGGAAGTGCGAGCACCACTCTCTCTATGGAGCTGCCCAGTCCAAGTTGGCTCTGAAGGGTGGACTCGCCATAGCAAGCACAAATTCATCTGACCGCTGGAAGAAAGGAGGCTCGGGGGAAAACCTCTGTGCCCAGCCTTACCATGGTGAGTATTGGGGAGGGGCTTGGACTCATTTGCTGTTGTGTTTGGTAAATGTGCTGTTAAACATGCACAGCCAACCACAAAGTTGTACAGGGGTATGGGCAGTGAGCTAGTCTTCAGCTCCAGGCACTGGGCAGTAACTCTAAACTATCCCTGTGGGTTCGGTGCTGTTTGCCCTCTGTTACAGGCAAGGCTGGGAGAGGGAGGTACTTGCCTTGTCACAGGTCACACAGCAATTCTGTGCCACCCTGGAATTGAAAATCCCCCTGATGCCTGAGTATGTATTGACATACTTTTCATGATTAAGTCCTGAACTCCAGAGCAAAGGAAAAGTTAGGGTAACAGGAAAACCTTCGTGCAGTACAAAAGTCAAATAAATGATGTAGTAAAGTTGGACCTATTCTAAATTATAAAAGGAAAAAGAGAAAGAAAAAACTGAAATTTTTTTTTCTTATCTGCAGATTTTGATGTAATGGAAAAACTTAGGAGCCTCGTGTGGGTTTATGTACTTATTTTTAATTTTTGGTGTGCCTATTACACACTGTGATAGTTAACTATTTCTCAATTGCTCCCAAAAATGAGTACATGATTATTGCCATTTGGGAAGTTGATTGTGAACTTTGTTCTGAGTCTAGAGACTTGATCAAAAGGGATTTTGAAGTTTAAAAAGAATAGGCAGATTTGTTTTTTAAATCTCTAAATGTAAATAGCTATCCTCCAAGCAAGTCTTTTTTCATCATGTTGCTCTAAATTACATCAGAAGTTGAGATATATACATATACACTGAGTGGCCAGATTATTATGATCTCTGAACACATAATAATCTGGCCACTCAGTGTAGACTGACCACAGAGTTGGCATTTTAAAATAAGGTTTTTCCATGAATAACAACTGCATTGTGGGTAGTTAGAAAGAAGCAGAGGACTTACTAGCCAGAGGCTGGGAGCCACTATCTCCTTGTCCCTTGACATATCAAGATTTGCAAGCTTTCCCTTATACATAAGTACACTGAGTGGCCAGGTTATTATGCGTTCAGAGATAATAATAATCTGGCCACTCAGTGTATATTTAATTATCTTTTTAAGTCTTACCTATGATCTCACCTTTGCTCTTCTTTGTAAATTTACGCAACTTTACGAGGATTTTCCCCTCTCTTCTCTTAAAGTTCATTTAAGTATAATCTGGCCTCCCATGTTTTCCCTTATCTGCGCAAGTTTTGTCCTGAGGGAACCCCCTTCTATGTTCTAGTGCAGATGCAGCTGCCTCTGAGATGCCAGGTTCTGCTGCTACGGGGTGGGGTTTTCCTTTTCTTTGATCCTCAACCCTTGCCTATTTGAACAGGTCTGTTTCTGAAGCCAGTTTCCTCCTGGCCTTAAAAAGCAATCGCTTTCTTAATGGCAAGTTTAAATTTTGTGCTGTCAAGCCTTCTCCAACTTGGCAACTAAGAGAAAACATGGAACGAAACAAAATACCTTTTGAACTGGATTTTACTTGTTTCATTGTCTTTGTTTAAGGATCAGAAAGTATGATTTTGTTGACAGGACTCTTTCTGTCTCTTGCCTCTAATTCTTTTGAGGGACATAGTTGTAATTTTAAGTTCCTTCAGTGCCCAAAATGCCTCCATGTCAATATAACAGGTTTTCTTTGTAATCCGATGTGTTTTATTTTATGCGTTTATAATATTCTTCCGAGAAAGGGACCCACTGTCAAAGTGGTCGATGGCCCCCAAAAGACTAAGAACTCATCTAGGCACCACCCCAGAGAGAGTCAAATGGGCGTAAAGGGTTTCTTGACCCATATAGTGATAGGACCAGCAAATTTTGAAATAAGAAATTTATAAGTTTCGAATAGAAGGCATATGTAGTTCTGACTTGTCAACTTAAACCTCAGGATTTAATTTGCACAAAGATCAAGACTAAATCTGCCTCCTCTTTTCCATTCCTCTCCTGATGACTGGTTCCTACCAAGTCAAGTATGTCGGAAATCTGTAAGTCACCTTGGAGTTGGCCTGATTTCCTCTCCCACTGTTCATTCTAATGTAATCAAATATTAAGTCCTGGCAATTTTGTCAAATTTATGTAGTCCTTGTTCTTAGAGACTGCTGTCTTAAGTTAGGGACTTTTTCTAGGACTGCTGTCTCTCAGACTCCCCATACTGGTCCCTGCCCTGCTTCTTATCTAACTATATAGAGGAAAGAAAGATAAGATACCAGAGTTGCTACAAAGCGAAGTCCAAACTTACCACACTTGTTACAGCAAAGCTGCAGCTCCATGCCAGGATTGGGTTCCCCAAAGCTACTTTATTTCTCCCTTGATTTTTGCTATATCAATTATTTTACTTCTAACATAAGAACATTTATTTGTCATTGTGGCCCGGGTTGCCTCTCTAGCCAACCCCTATCCAGTGTGTGTCATGTTCATCAGAGAAAACCACCTGCGTACATTTTATGAATAAACTGCTTTGACTACGGTCCAGATAGGCATTTATATCATTATGATATCTTGGCCTTGCTACCACTCTTCATATTTTAACATTTGGTGAATTATGCAGAGGAAATGGACTTTGATTGGAGTCAGGGTTATAAAGCACTCTAAATTTTGAACAGCTCTTAGAAGCTTGCCAACTTTTTTTAACCATTGAAGATACTTTGTCTAATATTACCAAAAATTTTATATTACTTTTCCATGTACGTGCCTCATCCTTTTAAAGGCTGCTATCCCCATTCAGAGATGGATCTTCTTAGGAAAGCCTGCTTTTCTAGAGAAGCCTATGGCATTTAAAGAGATCTAGCAGCAGCAAAGAAATGTGTGAGAATAAAACTCAGTGAATAGTGAGCATAATTTAGCAGCTGCCGTTGGAGAGGTCGTTACATGCCTATCATTCTGCAGAATATATTGTGAATAGGAGAGCTTTTTAAAGGAAGCCCAGCTTCCCGCTATGAAGCATAACTTGAAACCTGAGAAGACAGCCATTCTGTCATAAGTTGTCCTTAGATGTTAAGGACTTTAATCAAAGAGTCAGTTTCTGACACTTACTACTAAGAGTGGCTGACTCACTTAACTACTCGGCAAAACAGGGATTTCACGGGGCTATTTGTCCATGTCTCTAACTCCACAGTGAGTTCCAAAGTCCACACCCACCTTCAGTGATTCCAAGGTATTTTACTGGCCCCGCTTTTACTAAAGAAAAGGAGATAGAGTATACGTTTAATCTCAGGCAGGTGAAATACTCTGCCAACCACAGAAGCCAATTGATGCTCACTTGTAATGCTTGCCCTACTGACCTCAGAGACTAATGGTAATGAGGACGTGAAAGAAATGTATGTGAAAGCACTTTGTATGAGAAACACAATTTAGAAAAAAACACACTGATGTTTCTATAAGTAATAGTCATTGTGCTCAGGGACTCTCCTATTAAGTGTTGAATATGGGAAGAGAAATTGGTCATGAGGTCTTGGGAGTTTGAGTATGGTTAAAAACGAAACTAAGCTTATACGCAGGATCCTTATAAAATATAAGGACAAATTACTCTTTAACAGAAATACCCTGTTCAGATACATTTATATGTCAGAGGAAAACAAAACCAAAAGATTTTTTGAAAAGAAAGACATCTAAATTATTCTTACCTTTTGCTGTATTGCTGTTTAATATTAAGTTAAGTCTCACTGTTATCATATGGGGTCTGGGTCCAGGGTGGGTCTGTCTGCCTTGGGCCTGCCATTGTGGGGAAAGATTTCACACTGCAAGTCCAGTTGATTTTGAGACCATGTCTGTGAAACAAAGGAAGGGCTGAAGGTAGAAGAAGCAACAGGAGAAAGAATGTCAGAGAAAAGGGGGCCTTGGAAACAGGTTCATGAGGTAAGCCCATGAATGCAAGTCTGGTGAGACCCTTAGAGGTCAGGAGAAAAACTGCAGAAATACTAAGTGTGGGCGTGCTCTGACAAAAGAGCCAGCTATGAGTCCTTTGTCTTGAGGCTCAGTTTCCATGGGATTTTCCTAGCTTCTTACTATCCTGCCACATCACACTTCAGTTAAATGAACATTTGAGAATAATAAAGACGTGGAACCAAATGCTATGTTAAGTACACTTTTATGCAAATAGAAGAGTCATTCTAAGGGACCCTACTAACTGGGTAAAAGGTGATAAGATCTGATGCCTATGCTTTATCTAATAGCCATTCTTTAATCTGGTAATAATCATAGTTTTTTAAAAAAATTACAGATGTGGAAAAAGGTGACCAAAATAGTTATAGGGTTAGTTGTTCTGTTAAAAAAAAAAAAAATTTCAAAGAGATCTGTTATTAACATAAGTATTGAGCACTTCCTCTAGTATCTCCAGGCATATTTGAGGTTAAAATAACTTTTCAGTTCCTCTCCATGAGTGTACCAGGAAAAGTTATTAAAATGAAAAAAGCGATTCTACTGCCTTGTTGGTCACCAGCTGGTCCTATGACTGCCCAGTTGAAGCTGGTTCTTCTTTCATAACCTGAATTACCATGTACTCCCCCTTTCCAAAAATTCACTCAAAGATCTAGCAACTCTTCTTCCCACTTCCTCAAAACCTAAAGCCTCGATTCTACTACCAGTCTGTGAAGAATGGGACTATTTGTCCATGTCTCTAACTCCACAGTGAGTTCCAAAGTCCACACCCACCTTCAGTGATTCCAAGTATTTGACTGGCCCCACTCCTACTAAAGAAAAGAATATAGATATGCATTTAATCTCAGGTGGGCACCCCTTCTGGTGAAATACTCTGCCAACCACAGTAGCCAAGTGATCCTCACTTGATCAAGCCACAGTGTTTTAGCTCTTTATCATATCACACTAAATGAAGTTTTACATGGATTACCTCATTGAATCCTCATGAACAAACATATGAGCCTGGTACTCTTATTCCTAATTTGCAAATGCAGAAACTGAGGCTCGAAGAGGTTGGAGAGCTTGTCCACGGGCACAGCGTTGGTCAGTGGCGAAGCTAGCGTTCAAGTCCAGACCTGAGCAATCAGCATTTGTGAATTTTTATACCACACAGCCTGCCCAGATACTGTATGCTCATAAGTGAAAACAACCACCTTTCTTCCAGAGCAGTTTTAGAAATTAGTTAACTGAAGCTGATTATCCAGTGATTAATTTATCCAGTGATTAACTCTCCTGTCCTCTATCTCTCCCCCCCACCCCTCCCCACAGAGACATATACCATAGATGGAAACTCCTATGGGAGACCTTGTGAATTTCCATTCTTAGTGGCTGAGACCTGGCATCACGAGTGCATCCTTGATGAAGAGCACAGTGGGCCATGGTGTGCAACCACCTTGAACTATGAATATGATCAAGAGTGGGGCATCTGCTTAAACCCAGGTATGTATGGCTAGTACACTTCACATATGGAAAGAAAAAGATAACATTTCCCAGAGGCAAAAGGGGAAGGAAGAGTCCAAGGTATTCAGAAATGATTATAACAAATATAATCCTAAATAAGGAGTATATATATTTGAGGAAAGGGAGAACTAATGTGTAGCTATGAACCTGCTTTTGAAAGTAGGCCAAAAAGAGAACAAAGACAGGATGGTGTCACAGAAGACACAGAATGAGAGGGTATTTTGCACCAATACCTCTCGGAGAGGAAGTAGAAAAAGCATAGGCAACGCTGACCTTTGACAGAGCAATCTGAAAGACTAGTGGTCAGGGAAGCTAGGTTACCATAGACTGCACCATGAACAGAAGGTGATTAAGCCTCTTAAGTTTTATGGAAAAGAAAAAGAGAGGCAAGGTGGTGGTCTGAAGGGCAGATAAGTTGTAAAAGCACTTTTAGGATGGTGGACACTTAAATATGTTTATCGTCCGAAGCAAAGAGTGGGGGGCAAAAGAAACATTATTCCTGATCATCTCAAAATTGGTGAATTGTTCCCTCTGCCATCCGATATATTGATAAGAGCATGTTTTCTAATTGCGTCTTACATGAAGCAAACAATTCAGGATGTGCTAAAGTATTGACTGTTCCTTAGAGTGAAAGAGACCAAAGAAGCAGTTGGATTATTATCTGGTATATAATAATGGACAGATTTTCTTGCCAATCAGTTGAGATTTACAGAGGATCACAGTACTTGAAGTGTGGTAGGTACTCAAGAAATGTTTTCAAGAATCTTTTTTAATGGGCACTAGGTTAGAGGAATCTGTAGTAAAGATAAAGCAAATGTCTCCAACCCCAAGTAATAATACTGATAGTACCCTGCCAAGTGTCAGTTAGTATTCTAAGCACTCAGCCTCTATTAATTCCTGCAATCCTCACACAACCTTATTTTACAGATGAGCAAAGTGAATGAGGCACAGGGGGATTAAGTCACTTGCCTGAAGTCACACAGCTAATCAATTTCAGAGCTAAAATTTAAAGCCAGGAAATCCAGCCCTCAGACCTTGTCCTGAACAGCTGTCCTATCCTGCCTTACTCAGCAGCCATCCTGCTGATCTAGTCATGCTCATACCTCCTCGAGGAAGCTGAGCTTCAAAATGCAGAGTTCCAGGCAATTGAGGTTTATGCTGGACCAGTGGTTTTCAGACTTCAGGATGCAACAGAAGCACTTGAGAGTTTATTAGAACACAGATTTCTGGGAATTATAATTCTGTACATTTAGAGTGGGGCCCAGTCATTTGCAGTTTAATGAGTTCCCAGATAATGCTCATGATGCTGGTCTGGGACCACACTATGATAATCACTTTTCTTGGTAGAGGCACAGGCTTTTAAACACCTGGAACCTACTGCAAGATAAAAAAGCCGATATTTGCTTCATCTTTAATTGATAAGCAGAGTTCGGTCAACCATGCACGAATTTCATGTAAATATAACAGTAGTCTGGATATGAGATTTTAGATATGAATGGGAATGTGGAGGTTATCCAGTGCAAACCCTCACTTCTCAGGTGAGGGGCAACAAACACCCAGACTGTCACAGTCAAACCCCATTGGCGTAGAGCCTAATGGAAATCCCAGGATTCCTGATCCTTATTCCCAACATATTTATCCCACTCTGACTTGCAGCCTTGACTGGCATGTGTCTCAATGCCTTTAGCCTCCTCTGTGGGGCAGGGGGAGAGTGGATTTTTAATGTATTCATAGGCATCCCAGAGTTATTTTTATGGAAGCAAGACTTAGTTTTTCAAACCAATGACTGCTAAACCATGAGGTTTTATTTTATAGTAATAAACACACTGCTATTGCAGTGGGAGCTCCTGGATTTATAAGCATAGGGCCTGGTGATAATAAGGAACCTTTAGGCAGTATACTTAAAAATCCACCTGTTTTGTGTTCACCACATGACACAGCATCCTCTGTTACTATTTGGGTCATTATAAAGCAGTGGAAGGAGCAGTGTTAGCCAGTCAGAAGATCAAGAGCCCAGATGGAGAGGCCAGAGCTCAGATTAGCTCTACACAAACACCTCTAGGCCTTTGTAACCGCCTGTGGAAGGAGGACATTAGCCAAGATGGTATCTAAGGGCCCTTCCAGCTTGAAAGGCCATGTGGCCTTTGACTGGTTATGGAGGCCCTTTGGAAACGCCCCAAGGGAAGCCTAGGACACACTCCATGTTCCCTCTTCTAGAGAGCACATGGGAGTCTCTGAGCATATTTTTGAACCAGTTCTATCAAGACCTATTTGTCATGTCCAGAATGGACTGGTGAATATAATGGAATCAGGGACATAGAAAGGGAGTGGACTGACAGTTCTCAGAGGGGAGGAGGTCAGAAGGGTGCAGGAAGAAACTGGACAAAAATCTTACACCTATGGATGAAGATAGTGGCAGGGGGTAAGGGCATGGGGTGGGCTGGGGTGGGGAATCAGGTGGAGGGGAGCTATGGGGGGGTGGTGAAAAGAGGAACACCTATAATAATCTGAACAATAAAGATTTATTATTTATACAAATAAATATATATATATATATATATATATATTTGTTAAAGAAAAGAATAGGTACATTATACTATGAACATATATGTGTGTATACATATGCACACATACATGTACATATACATATATAATGATAATTATGTATTATTGATTAGTATATATTGTATATTGAGTTATCTATTAAACTATTAAGGAGAAACTTGGACTGAGTTTCCTAATAATGTAGTCCCCTGGGTTCTCTTGAGTATTTAAGGAGTATGTCTGCACACAGACATACTCATGCAATAGTTTCTCTGCAGTCTGCCACCATTTTCATGTGAGCTTGTTTTCCATTAACTTGGAGGCTTAAAAGTCTGAGCACAGTTGAAGTTTCCTACCCATAGAAGGCAGGTAAGGGCTAAAATATGGCATTGTACTTGATAAGGGATAAAGGGAGAGTGGTCAGTAGGATAGTGGAAGCTTTAATCAGCCTGAGTCATTGGGTGTCCTGTGACTTCAAATCCTTTGTGTAACCAAAAGATCAAACTGGTCTAGTCAAGCAATAATCCTCAATTTAAACATATCCATAGACTATGCAAATTGAATCGCAGTACTTATAAGCATTCTAAGTAATAAGTAAACATTACACCCTTACTTTATGATCACTAATGAATCTTTTTATCAACAGAAAATGGCTGTGAAGGTAATTGGGAAAAGAATGAGCAGATGGGAAGTTGCTATCAATTTAATACTCAGGCAGCTCTTTCTTGGAAAGAAGCTTATGTTTCATGTCAGAATCAAGGAGCTGATTTACTGAGCATCAACAGTGAAGCTGAATTAACTTATCTTAAAGGTACGTTTAACTTATACACAATAGAGCAAATTGCCGAAATATAAAGAGGTTGTCTGTGTTCCTCTTTTCACATTCAGGTATGTTGTTTTATGTTTATGTTTTTCTATCTTCACTTGGGATTTAAACTTCAACACTGAAACTCACAAGCAAAAATGTACTGACTATAATCCTATTCCATCCATTGCGATGGAGAGCAAAAAGAGGTTAATGTTCAGAAAATGGGTTGAGGTTGCAGGATTAAACTGCTACCCTAAACCTAAGTGAAAGGATTTTTTAAAAGGTAAACATTAAACTTTCTGAACATTGAAAACTGGAAAACTCAAGGAAGGTAAAGAAGATGGCTGAGTCATACTAGATGGTTTCCCATGTGAGTTAAACAAGCACAGTCCTCAGAGGCAAGGAGAGTTTTAAGAAATCTTAAAGTGGATTTAGTGATATAGACAAATGGAGTGGATGGGATTTTGTTTTGTTTTGTTTGTGGGGTAGTGATGATTTAAAAATTTTTAATTGTGAAAACATTTTTAAAACATCATGTAGACAGGATCCTATGTAATAAAGAGGTAACATGTAAATTAACCATCATGCCTTAACATGGCTCACGAGGTTCAGGGCCCACTCAGAGTCCGGTTTCTGGGAAAGGCCACATACTAAAATGAAGAAGCTAGAAAATGGTTAATTTGGGGAAATGGGGGACCAGGCGGGAGTCCACCTCTCGGGGAGAACTACTCCATTGCTCTGGTCTTTTACCATTCCTTTTATTGAGATTCTGAGACAAAGACATCTCTTAGGCGGGAAATTCCAACAACAGAAAATCAATAAGAATTTACATATGATCAACAAATTAAAGTTGCCTCAACTACCACAATCTCAACTAGATAATGAGTTAATAGTTCTAACCATTCAGAGCCATAGAGATTGGCCAGCTCTTTTTACATTTTACTACCAGGAAACAATGTTTGGTTCCGTTTAGCCAGTTCTTTTTACATTTGACTACTAGTGACTCAACCTAGAGTCAATGAGTTAATAGCTCCGATCATTCAGAGCCATCAAGCTCCCTTTACATTTTATTACCAGTGATAATATTTGGTTTCGGTTACTGGCAATGCCCTTGCACAAGATGGCCATCCCCATGTGGTCACAAGATGGCCACCACAAGATGGCCAACAGGGGAGGGCAGTTAGGGACAACCAGGCCAGCAGGGGATGGCAGTTGGGGGTGACCAGACCAGCAGGGGAGGGTATTTAGAGGCAACCAGACCTGCAGGGGAGGGAAGTTAGGGGCAACTGGGCTGGCAGGGGAGGGAACTCGTGGGTGATCCAGCCAGCAGGGGAGCAATTAGGCGTCGATCAGGCTGGTAGGTGAACGGTTAGGGGTAATCAGGCTGCTTGGCAGAAGTGGTTAGGGGCAATCAGGCATGCAGGCAGGAGAGTGGTTGGGAGCCAGCAGTCCCAGATTGTAAGAGAGATGTCCAACTGCCAGTTTAGGCCCAATTGGGATCAGGCCTAAACCAGCAGTCGGACATCCCTGGAAGGGTCCCAGATTGGAGAGGGTGCAGGCTGGGCTGAGGTACACCCTCCCCCACCTCCAGTGCACAAATTTCATGTACCGGGCCTCTAGTAGAAAATAATCACATAGAGACCTATGCAGCCACCACCCTAACTAAATAAATATTCACTGACATTTAGTCATACTGTTTTACATGGATTGATCCCCTTTCTCTCTTTCTCTTTATCCCTCTCTCCTTCCTTCCTTCCCTTTAAAGCATAAAATGTTAGCAGAATTCAAGTCCCATGCTCACCTTTCAAAATAACCATTCCTTGAGTGCTCTTATACATATTTATAAATCCTATATATGTTTTCATTATACCATTGTTCTGTTTCACAATAATGCAAACACTATCTTATTTACCATATGTAAGTTTATTCATTTTCACCTGCCACTGTATAGTGTTACATTGTACGAATAAACCACAATTCATCTATTCTCTACTGAGAAACAGGTTGTTTTCAGCTTTTGCTATTACAAACACCTCTGCAAGGAACATCCTTGTATGTGTCCCATTGAGTATGTATGAGTTTCTCTAGAGTAGAAATTGCTAACATATGTTGTGCACATCTCTTCACCTCTAATTAAATTTCCAAATCCTTTCCAAAGGGGTTGTATTAGTTTACACTTTCACTACCACTTGGTGTTAACACACTTATTAATTGGTTGATCTGATGAATGTGAAATGGTATATTATTGTTGATTTACATTTCCCTGATAGTTAATGTGGTTTTGCATCTTGTGTTTATTGAGCATTTAGGTTTTCACCTTATAATTTGCCAGTTTATATACTTTGCTTCTTTTCTATTGAGTTGTTGATCTTTTGCATATTGATCTGCTATATTTTTTATATATTCTGGACACTAATCTTTTACTAGTCTTTACCTTTTCACTTTATTTTGGTTGCCTCATAATAAAAAATACGCTAGTGTTTATTTGGTTACACTTACCAATCTTTTCCTTAATGTTTTATGCATATTTATATTATCTAGCAAATCCTTCCTTAGCCCTAAAATGGTAGCAATATCCTCTTGTGTCTTCTTTAAAGGTTTATTATTTTGCTTTTCACATTTATATCCTTAATCCATGTGTAATGTAGTTTGTAAAGCTGGAAATCTTATTTATCTTTCTCCAGATAGATAGTAAAGTTTACCAAGCACTATTTATTTTACATTTTCCCCTCTAATTTGTTATGCCATCTCTAATAAATATAAACCTTAGGATATATATGTTATTTCTAGCCTCTCCATTCTATTCTTTTGGTCTATTTATTGTTCTTTCTATCTATTCCACACTGTTTTAGTTAGTCCTGCCTCACAAAGTAAATCTTATTTTCTGGATGAGCAAATTCTCCCTTATTCATTATTTTTGGCTATTTTTTTAAACCATTTATTCTTTCATATGAATCTAAGGATCAGCTTGTTATTCTCAATAAAGAAAAAAACCTTATTGAGACTTTGAATTGCATGAATTATAGATTAATTAAAAAGGCATTTCTGTCACTACATTCTTAAGTCTTCTCATCCATGAAAATGGTATGCCTTTTTACTTATTTAAGACTTCTTTTATGTACTCAATAAAATTTTATAAGAGTACTCAGTAGTTTACTTATTTAAGACTTCTTTTATAAACTCAGCAAAATTATGTAAGATTGTTGCCCATCTTTACTCTTTTACTAGAAGTTTGTAAACAAAGTTTTTTCATTATTTTCGAAAATCAAGTTATTGAGTCCCTGATGATTTCTTTAATTAATGAAAAAAAATCATAATATATGTTGATGATTTTTTAGAGAGATGTTTAAATGCTTTTTAGACGTTATCTTATTGAGTCCCATATAGCAATTTAATTAGAGGTGAAGAGATGTGCACAACATATGTTAGCAATTTCTACTCTAGAGAAACTCATACATGCTCAGTGGGACACATACAAGGATGTTCCTTGCAGAGGTGTTTGTAATAGCAAACATCTGAAACTCAGAGTATTTAAGACTTGAAAATATCTTAAAGTTTTTGTTAAGTGGCCCTTCACTGAAAAACTACCATGTAACTATTGGGCTTGGAGCAGTGAGGCCAACCAAAGTGAATAAGACAGATTTTTGTGATCAAAGTTTTTTTCTATTGTTGTGAAATAAGAGTTGTATTTATGTAGAGCATATTGGAGAATGTAATTTAAAAAAAAAACAAAAAAAAAACAAAAAAAAAACCTCTGGTTTGTTAGCTACTAATTGGGGGGAACCAGGGAATCAGCCAGAAAAAAAGCAGAAGCAGGCCCCTTGAAGGTTAAGTCTAATAAAGTCTGAAAAAAGCTTTCTTCTTCCTCTCTGCCTTGCCCTTCACCTAATTAGTTTTGTTTTCGTTATGTTTTACTGATACAGGGGCTAGAGGGAAGGGACATGGTTTCCTTATATTATCTAGATTTTGTTTGAGAGAGACAGATTTCCATGATCCGGCCTTCCCAGAGGACTTCTAACTACAGATACACCCCAAAGCGACAAAAGAGGGCCCAACAGTCCCTGGAGCAGGAACAGCACGTTTTCATTTTTCCTAATTTGCCTCTGCCTTGAGGGGCTCTTCACTTTGAGCCACCTTGAAGTTGCCCCAAGATTAGGACACTACTAAGTCAGGGCCCCGGCTGCTGTGGCTTTCATGATGCATTAAAGAGACTCTCCTCTGGCTCATCCCAAATGAATGCCCCTTAGCAGGCCCTGCAGTCTTTTATTGTAAGGACCCCAGCTCTGAACAGGGGTCTCAGGGACAGTCAAGAAATACCTTCCTCAGTGGGCTTGCCTATTGATTAGGTATGAAGATTTACGCTAACAATGGTCTATTTCTTTATGGCAAAGGTGAGGGGTAAGTAGTGTCTCAAATTGATCAACTTCTTGCTTGGACTATGTAGAAAAAAACTCCAGCTCCATATTGTCCAGGCCACATAAGAAGTTTGTGCCCTTTATGATTTATCTATTTCCCATTCACATCCAGCTGGCATAAGACACATAAAGAAAATTCCTGTTGGCTAACTCTCTTTTTTTTTTTGGGGGGGGGGGGGTGATTTTTGTTTGTTTATTTGTTTGTTTATTAAATTGATTGGGGTGACGTTGTTCAGCATGAACATAATAGGTTTCGGGTGTGGATTTCTATGTTACAAGATCTGTATATTGCACTGTTTCCACCATTCAAAATCAAATCTCCTGTCACCTTATATTAAGACGCTCTTCTTCCCCCACCCCCTTCCCTCTGGCAACCATCACAATGCTGTTTGTGTTCATGACTTTCAGTTTTATATCCCTTCACATGAGTGAAATCATATGGGTCTTAGCATTTTCTATCAGTCACAATTTTTAAATGCTATGATTCCAGGGAAGAGTAAGTCTTTAATACAGATCACAAATAGAAAAGTGCAATGAAGCAGAGTCGGAGCCTGACAACTTAAAAAGGTAAAGACTAGTAAAAGATTAGTGTCCAGAATATATAAAAAATATAGCAGATCAATATGCAAAAGATCAACAACTCAATAGAAAAGAAGCAAAGTATATGAACTAGCAAATTATAAGGTGAAAACCTAAATGCTCAATAAACACAAGATGCAAAACCACATTAACTATCAGGGAAATGTAAATCAACAATAACATACCATTTCACATTCATCAGATCAACCAATTAATAAGTGTGTTAACACCAAGTGGTAGTGAAAGTGTAAACTAATACAACCACTTTGGAAAGGATTTGGTCTGTCATAAATGTGTACTTGCCATGTGCAGATAAGCAACAAAATAATTTTGAAGCAGTGATAGGACTATTTAGACTTCCTGCAGGGGGGTTATCTGAAAAGACTTCATGGGAGGAAGGGCATTGAACTTGGGACGATGGGAAGGATTGACCCTCCATGGTATCCCCAGTTAAAAATGAATGAAAGGAATTCTGCATGTCGGGGTATAGTCATGTCTAGAGTACCATAAATATGTCATAGTTTTCAGGACTTCTTTAGGAACGGTAGAAAATTCATTGCTTTTACTAACAGGAAGAAATTTATATTATATTAAATCCTCAAGGTCTTTGTATACAAGCATTGGCAGCCCTTGCTTGTGCTAACAAGTGAAAGAAAAGGGTGAATCCAAAATTCTCTCAAATACCCACCTTCTCCTTCCTTAGCAGAGTATTCTTTACCAGCTATTTCCTTGAGAAAGGTGAGGCAAACCCTTATTTCTCACCCTAATACTTACAAATGTATCTGTATCTGCACTGTCAGCCATGCAGCTTGTTCAAGGTTCATTCCTTCCCCAAGGTTCTATGTGGCCACACCAGCTTTTTCTCCCATCTTGTATTTTCATCATGTTTCTAATTCTTCTCCAAAAGTCTATTAGCTTATTTAAACTTCTACCATTAATATAAACATATTTTTCTTTCTTTCTTTTTTTCTTTTCTTAGTTCCTGTGGCCCTATCTCTTTCTTTCACAGGCAAGCCTCAGGAAAGCACAGTGTATCTTTGTAAGTCACTTTCATCCTCACATTTCCTTTTTGGTGGAGTGATAATTGGGCCTTGGGCCTACCACCCTCTTTCCAGACTCCTGTCCATCCCTTGAACACTGGTGTTTGTGTTACTGCTCATGGTTTCTTGTGTTTGCAGTTGCTATTTCTGCTCTACCCAGGGGAACTCGCCCATTCCCTGGTGTCAGTTCCAATGGAATCACCTGTTTGAGGCAGGCAGTAAGACAAAAATTGTGTACGGTTAAAATTACCCTCTTTTAAAAGTCCCTTAATGTATGGACATGGTTTTATATATGCAAATCACTCCAATGTATATGTATTATAGTTTTCTCTGTATAAAATACATAGATATACATCTACTAAAAAGTAAAGAACGCATACGGTTTTCTACATGCAAATCACACAGATATATATATCTGTGTGATTTGCATGTAGAAAACATATTCATACTTTAAGAACAATTTATGTACACATAATTTAATGTACAAATAAATTATATAAAAATATAACTATATTTTATATGTATATATCCTATCTAATAAATAGGGAATATGCTAATTGACCATCACGCCCTCACAAAGATGGTGATACCCACAGCCAATAAGGAGGGAATATGCTAATTGACCATCACACCCTCAAAGATGGCGGTGCCCACAGCCACAATATGGCAGTGCTCAGACCCCTTAGCCCCACCAGGATGGCAGGTGCACGGCACAGCCGGGCCCACCCCCAGGCAGATCTGGCCACTCTGCACACCTGTTTCCAGAGTCCTCTAGTCCCCACAGCCCCCCAGCCAACCAGGGCCAGCCCAAGGTGCAGGCAAACCTCGAATGGTGACTGTCCAGCTGCCCAGGGCCAACCTGAGGCATAGACATTCCTCAGATGGTGGCTGTCCAGTAACCCAGGGCTGCCCGAGACTCAGGTAACCAGGGCCAGCCGAGGCTTGCACTGCTGGCAATGGCAGCAGCAAAGGTGTGATGGGAGCATCGCCTTCCCCTGATCACCAGATCACCTCCTGCCCCTGAGGGCTCCCAGACTATGAGAGGGGGCAGGCTGGGCTAAGGGACCCCCCTCCAGTGCATGAATTTTCATGCACCAGGCCTCTAGTGTGTGTGTGTGTGTGTGTATATATATATATATATATATATATATATATATATATGATTACATATAATACAATATTATATATAATTCCCTATGAAGAATTAAAAAACTGTTATTAAGTGTTTTACTACTGAGACTATTTTAACAAATTTATAGATATTTCCAACCTGTGAGCACTTCCTATTTATCAACATCATCCTTATCTTCTGTAGACTATTTCATCATTTGCTCTTTCTCTTCTACCTGGCCCTGAGTATCTTCAGATTATTCCTCATGATGTTGATGAAATCTTACCACGTTCTTAAGTAATTCTGTTGACTTCCTTCCTTATAATAATTCACAATTCTTTACATGTTTTCCCAATGCACATGGAACATACATGCAAGATTGAACCCATTGCTTATGGGCATATGCATATTGGGGGCTTTTCTGCAATTAATCTCACTATTTAAATTATTTCTGCTTCTCTGTCTTTCTCTTTTTTTTGCTCATGGTATCTTGTTGTCAAATAATAAATTAGAATGATACCTCTCCACAGTGGCATACATGTGTGTGTGTCTCTCTCTCTTCTGTATCTCCAGTTTAAATATCTCCTTTGGACTCTACAGATGTATATTACATTATCTACAAAGCAGCTCATATACACATCTCTGAAGCAATGCTGGTAGCACTTTACCATTTTGGGATCCACATCTGTTCTACTAGTTTTAAATCCTCATGAGGGCAGGACTCCCATTTTGGTTTTTGTAGCTTTCGTTTCTGGCAAATGATATATGCTTAATGGAATACAATCACATTCTCAAAATCTAGATCTGCAATGGGAACTACTTTTTGTATGTAAGTGCTTTCTTTTTAAATTTATTTTTCAATTACAATTGACATACAATATTATGTTAGCTTCAGTTGTACAGCACAGTGATTAGTATTACAAAGTGATCACCCTGATAAGTCTAGTAGTCACCTGACATCATACATAGTTATTACAAAATTATTGGCTATATTTCCTGTGTTGCACTTTACACCCCTGACCATATATCTTGCTTTCTGACAAGAGGGCAATAAAGTAGTGAAACAGCTATTCTGAGAAGTCTGTTCTTACCTTAGAAGAAAGGGAGTCACACACGCTAATGAGAAATTAGAATTGAATTTTGGGTTTCTTGGTAGTCTGAAGTGTTGTTGTCTCTTGGCATCTCTTGCTTTGTGGGATAGATACTCTCCTAGATAGTCTGACTTAGATAATAAACTGGGTAATTTTGTCACTTGTTAAAATTATGTAATTGTTACAGAAAAAGAAAGCATTGCAAGCATCTTCTGGATTGGCTTAAATCAGCTGTACTCTTCTAGAGGCTGGGAATGGTCAGACCACAAGCCACTAAACTTTCTCAACTGGGACCCAGGTAACTACTCTCTCCTCTACCTTTTACATGGAGCCAAAGCCCCAAAAGAAAAAGAAAAAAGAAAAAAGAAAAAAGAAAAAGAGAGCTTCCCACTCACTAAGGTCTTATAAAAATTTCAAATCTTTACAATTTTTTTGATTACCTCTCAGAAAATAATTTTTTCCTGAGCCCTTTTAAGCTTACTCATTATAGCCATTATGCCATTATATGGTAGTCAAGTGGATACCATCACAGCCAAGTTGAATCACATCATGGGCAACTAAGCATCTGTCTCTAACCTTAGGAACCCTCTGTCTTTAAGTAAGAGCAGAACAAGTCCCATTGCATGGCCCAGGAGCCATTCTGTGTCCCTGAGGGAACTTGGCATGTGTATGGCTGACCCACATGTATTTCATCTGCAGCTTCACTCTAACATGGAAATACTCTCTCATTTTAAGATTCTTGGGGTCTCCCTTTGTAGCACCCAATTACCGACAACATAATGGTTATTTTATTATACAAGTCAATACCTTAAAGAAAAATGTATTGTAAATAAAACCCTAGTTAGCCAAAAGATATTTCCCCCAGAAGAAGGTTTAGATATCTTTTTAAGAAATAAAAGCTTAAGCTCCTGACAAATGTAGAACCTAAAAGCTGACACATAACTTCAGCACAAAAGTATTCTGCATACATAAGAAAAATGAATTAATTACAATATAACACTAATAGGACATTTTACTTGAATGAGATTTCATTATTATTATTTCAAGGTCTTAAAGGCATTACAGAATCATAAATTAGTATATTTATTGTAGAGAGTGGCAGTTTAAGAGCTACTTTCTGACTGCAAGATATGACATTGATGTTGATTGGGGATGGAGGTTGGTTTTTGGTTTTGGTTTGTAAATTAACTACAATATATCAGAGAATTTCCCCCTAAGGAGAAAGACATATTTAAGCACAAGATTGTCTGTTGAGGCTTATACATTTCAACTTAATGGACAGTTTTCACTATTTTCTGAGTCTCTTTAAAAGCAGAAAACTAAAAATACAAATTACATTTACTAACCATCACCCTGGCTCCAATCTTCTCCTTTTAACTGTTTGGAAATTTTGTCATTTAAGATACCTTCCGTGCAACTATGATAGGTGGGTCAAGCTGTGCGAGCATGGACGCCACAACCGGTCTGTGGCAGAGGTTCTCCTGTGACGCTCAGCTGCCTTATGTTTGCAAGAAGTCGTTAAACAGCACCGTGGAGTTAACAGGTATCTTTCCCACTCAATCTCGTCAGTCTTCAAATCATAGTTTTTTGAAGTCAAGTAAATTCATTTCGGATACCCATTTCTGCCGTTCTTTTATCTGGTACTGCCAATGCTGAAAGTATTGACTTTGATCCTATGGTTAGATATTATCAACTGTATATGAAATAAAGCTTTGATTCAGTATATCTCCATGAGAAGACAGGGGCATTCTAGATAAGAAGTACATTTCTGCTCACAGTGTCTCTTTTTCTCTGGAGCAATGGTTCTCAAAGTGTGGCTCCCAGACAGAGTATCAGCGTTGCTTGTATTTGCTAGGAATGCAGGTTCTCGGGACCTACCTCAGATTTCCTGGATCGGAAACTCTTAGGGTGGGACCCAGCAGTCAGTGTTCTGTGAGTGTCCTGGTGCTGCTGCTGCACACTCAAGCTTTACCTACTATTACCTGCCGCTGTGGGAAGTGGAAAATGGATGACACAGAACATTCCCGAGCTTTCCCACCTCTCACCCCACAATGCCCAACCCTCCTCTGTCTGTCCTGTGCCAGGCTGGTTCTTTAGGTCTTTGTGTTGACAAATGGGGTAGAAAAAGGGAGGTGCGAAAGGACAAAATGTGTATAAGGAAGGGAGTTTGGGGTTAAGAGAGGAACAAAACAGCTGAATTTTTTAAGGGACAGAGAAATATGCTTTAAAATGATAGGGAAAAATGAACATTTACCTTGCAAGTTGATTCAAACCAAATTTAGTTTATATAACAAAAGGCATAATAGAAAAGAAAGCACAAATGAAAATAAACTGGGGGGGCTAATGATATAATAGATCAAATGACTCTCCTAAGTAGTAATTTTTAAAATATATATATTTTATTGATTTTGTACAGAGAGGAATGGAGAGAGATAGAGAGTTAGAAACATCGATGAGAGAGAGTCATAGATCAGCTGCCTCTTGCACACCTCCTACTGGGGATATCTCCGCAACCAAGGTACATGCCCTTGACCGGAATCGAACCCAGGACCCTTCAGTCCCCAAGCCAACGCTCTATCCATTGAGCCAAACCGGTCTCGCTAAGTAGTAATTATTAACTAAATCATGTTTCCACATGATTGAATAATATGCATTTATTGAAATAACTCTGCCAGCAGGAAAATAAAAAGAGCAGGACAAAATGATATGCCTACTTATCATTTTAATCTTGTAGCAATATGAATTCATGGAGACAAAGACTGGAATAGAAACATGATTGTTCAATTATGGGTGTGTGTTTTTGTTCTCTCTGTATCTTTATCATAATTATAAAATATAAAATTAGTAAGTGCTGTTTAGAACCTTACAATTAATTGTTATCTTGCAAGTGAGAAAAGTTAGCTAAACTTGAATTTTATCCTTTAATGAAAAACAAACTGTCAACATTTTTAAAATGCTGTGTTTTGTATAACAAGCATTCCAAACAGCTCCTGACGGTGAAGTCTGAGTAACCAGGCTACTTTCTAGTTCTGCTGAGAAGGGTAGGGCATTTTTTTTGGTTTTGTGCTTCCACTCTTTTTCTCTAATCTTTTTTACCATCGTTGGGTGAGTTTCCTCATGGCCAACAAGAAGAATTGCTAATTCTGCGAGGGCTAGAGGTAGAGCAGAGGGGAGGAGAGAGGAGTCCAAAGATGCCCTCTGCCACAGCTTCCCCCCTTCCCCACTGATGCCCTTCCTTGGTGTGGAGTGTATGAATTTCTGACTGTTCCTTAAGTCCTTGTCCGTCCTTTTGAACAAAGGAGGATTCATTTGAACAGTGAATATTAATGCACAGCCCCTGCTAAGCTGACTGTACTTGAAAAGGAGACTTGACCTCACCATCTCCCATCACCAAAACTGGAGGGGAACCAAACAAATCTCATGCCAAGGAAGAGATTGGTGGGCAACTGGCTGACCCCACACCTTTCTTCTGCCAATCCCTCCTGAAATGGTCTGAGCCCAGCCACGTAACACATTTGCATCGCACAAGGCCCATCATTAACTGAATCCCTGCAATCACTCTGATGATGCCACCTAGGCTTTGGGCACACACATTCATGACACTGTACTATCTGACGTCACATTCCCCAATTTTTCAGAAGCCTTAAGATTCAAGAAAGAAGAACTTGTAACGTTACTGATTCAAAACAGATGTGTCTTTACTGGAATGTAAATCACTGCTTTTCTCCCAGATATTTGGCCATATTCAGATACCCGCTGTGATACAGGCTGGCTGCCAAATAATGGATTTTGCTATCTGCTGGTAAAGGAAAGGGATTCCTGGGATTCGGCACATGCAAAATGCAAAGACTTCAGCAGTGACCTCATCAGCATTCATTCTTTAGCAGATGTGGAAGTGGTAGTGACAAAACTCCACAATGAGGGTAAGTTTTTAAAAGATCCTACTGGAGAGGTTTAAAACATTTTAAAGTATTCCTATTTTCAGACTCTTAGCGGGAATGGAAAGCTTACAATTAGATCCCTCTAGCTCAGCACTGTTCAATAGAATTTTCTGTGATGATGAAATCCTTCTTTCTATAATCCATGCTGTCTGATATGGTAGCCACCAACCACTTGTGGCTTTTGAGATGCAGCGAGGGCAATTGAGGAATTGAATTTTTACTTTCATTTAATTTTAATTAATTTGTAAACTTAAATAGCCACATTGGCAGCTAGTACATTAGATAATGTTTCTCTTCTCATAAGCTAAATTCTATTTAAGTTCTCCAAATACTTGAGTAATGATTATTTCACTTTTGTAATTATTTGAAGCTAAAGATTAAAGAACAAAAATATACTACAGTGCCAGTATTATATTATAACTTTCTAGGACTCACTAATAGTAGACACTTGTTGTGGTGTAAGCATGGTGTCAATTGTTTTACCAGGGTGGTGATGGACAATATTCTTTTTCTAATTTGAATATCTATGAGTATATGTATATAATTTTATTATTCCCCATAAAGCAAGAATTATCTAACCCAGATATTAGGAACAGCCAGCCTACAGGTCATAGTACAGGTGTTCCACTTGTGTGCTCTACCTGATGAGTGATCTGAAAAGCCTGCAGCACTCAGTCTGCCTAACTTACCAACATTTTAACAGGTCAATTAAGAATCCCAAAGGGATGGTTATCAGAGGGAGGGGGTGAGGGCAGTGGGTGAAAAGGGGAAGGGGAGTATAGTCAATGATACTGTGATAAATTTGCACTGTGACAGGTGATTTATTAGAATTAGTGGGGTGATCACATTGTAAGGTGTGAAAATGTCAAATCACTATATTGTACACCTGACACTATATAAGATTTTATACCAACTATACTTAAAAATAAGTAAATAAGAATGCCATCTTTTGAATTAAAACTTTAAATGAAAAAAATAATACTGTCAAGGTTCTTAAAACCCCACATCAGAATGTAAAAAATCAGTAGCAATGTACACACTGAAGTATGTAATTGAGTAAAACCAAACAAGTATAACATTTTTCTTTTAGATGCCGAAGAAGAAACATGGACAGGTCTTAAGAACATAAATACACCAGCTTTATTTCAGTGGTCAGATGGTACTGAAGTTACTCTAACATATTGGGATGAAAATGAACCAAGTGTTCCCTACAATAAGACTCCCAACTGTGTTTCCTACTTAGGAAAGGTAGGAAACCTCCTGGGTTTATTTATATAATAATAATAATAATAATAATAATAATAATAATAATATTTGGTGGGGATATTTGTGTTTAAGCTAGAAAATAAAATAAAAGGTAAGAGCCTTGGAGAGTGTCTTTCTGGTAGCTACGGAAAAAAAAGTAAATAAAGCAATGACTAAGTAAGCAATTCACTTTCTGTCTGAGAGAATCTGCTCTGGTCTGAAACAGATCAAGAGGATCCCTTTAGCTTTAGAACTCAGATTCTACTGCCAGGTTGGTTCTAATAAGATGCTTTCTCTGGGGACCATTGGTGTGATATTTAACATGTAGCCAGTTGAAAATTCTCATCTTCTGAATTCACATTCAGATTAAGTTTCATATTAATCCTACTTTAAAAATTAAAAAAGTTCTGGGCGGTGTGGCTCAGTTGATTGGAGTGTCATCCTATTATATACACTGAAGGTGGTGGATTTGAATTGTGGTCAGGACGCATACCCAGATTGCAGGTTCAGCAGTCAATAGGGGCAGATACAGGAGGCAACCAATCAGTGTTCTTCTCTCATCTCTCTCTCTCTCTCTCTCTCTCTCTCTCTCTCTCTCTCTCTCTCTCTCTCTCTCTATCTTTCTCTACAATCAATACATTTAAATTTTTTTTAAAGAAGTAAAAAAATAATTTTATCAAAATTTAAGTCTAACTTGTTCAAAGAGCATTTTGCTCCTGTAGAATTGCTTAAACATTTATTGAACATGCTGTATCTTGAGCAGAAGGGACATGTATACCTCTGTATTTTATTTATATCACTTTCCTGTAGACTTCTAATTATTTAGGAAACTGATTGTGTCTCCCGACTTTCTAGAGAGATTCTAGTGGAAACAATCAGTGGTATATGTGTTTAGAAGTATTTCAAGGGTAAAGATGTATTTAGAAAGTTGTGAAAGATAATTTAGAAAGTTGTCACATTTGCTGTCCTATTTAAAAAGGATATCTAAGGTGTCTTTACAAGAGTGTCAAAGGTAGAATGAACTGATAGCATACCTAGGCAGCATTCCAATGTCCAACTAGAAAACTCTGTTCTCAGAAACATTATCACAATTGACTAATTAAAATTTAATTTGAAGAAGCAGGATGGGTTAATCAAGTAAGCAAAATAAATATTAAGTAGACTATTTGAAAGCGAGAACTTTGAAATTGAAGCCAAAGTAAGAGTTGGAAGAAACTTTTGATTCTAGAATTCTTGGAGAGAAGCTATTCTAACCATCATCGTTTTACATAAGAGGAAACAGACAGGAAGGTTAGTTGACATGACCAAAAGTTTTTAGCCTGTGGACTTGGCCATGTCATATGGAAGAAGACTAGAACACTGGCAACTATTTGTGGGCTGAGTTCTTCTCTCTCCAACTTCTATCCTTTGATGGTTTTATTTTCGCTTGTATAAGAAAATCGAAATTCATTTCCCTTGTGACCTTGAGGTTATTCTGAAATAATGCAGGCTGGTTGGGTAGCATTTTGTAGGAGTATGTTCTCAGATTTCATCATTCACTTATATTCATTCTTGCCCAATCCTTGTCTTTCAAAACCCCTCCCTTCTACCCCCATAGTTTCATGAGAAGAAGTTATCATGACTTAAACTATGTTAGAGTTCAAGCTAAATATATGGCAAATAATATCTCTTATGGGAAATTTTTTTTTCTATTTTTTAAAAGCTAGGTCAGTGGAAAGTCCAGTCATGTGAAGAGAAACTTAAATATGTATGTAAGAAAAGGGGAGAAAAAATGAGTGATGCACAGGCTGATAAGATGTGTCCTCCAGATGAGGTATGTAAAACTCCTGCATACATTTTTCTAAGCAGTATTACACCTTCTTGGTAAGGGAAGTAGAAGAATTACTAGCTTGTGTTCATTTACATTAGAGCAAGGTAGAGCGCAAAGCAAATCAACATTCATGCAGAAGAAGAAAAAAAGTTCTAGGAAAGAGTTACCTATTCATGAATTTCTATAAAAATGTATATGGTTACGATGCTGGTATCTTTATTTCCCTTACTTATATTCTTCCTGTTCAAAGACAAGTCAACCAATAATGCTATATTATTATGATGAGGTAGGCTCTAATGATAGAGAGAACTAAGACACAGGCTCACAGTCTTGTGGAGGTTATCTGAAATTCTACCCCACCCTCCTCATGTGTATGAAGTCGTTGCCTTTGTCCTTAGTTTCCATATTTGTGAGATGTTAGCAAAACCTTGCTTGCCGAAACCAGTTTGGCTCAGCGGTAGAGCATCTGTCTGCGAACTGAAAGGTCCCAGGTTCGATTCTGGTCAAGGGCATGTACCTTGATTGCGGGCACATCCCCGGTAGGGGATGTTTCTCTCTCATCGACATTTCTAGCTCTCTATCTTTCTCCCTTCCTCTCTGTAAAAAAATAATAATAATAATAATATATATATTTTTAAAAACCTTGCTTATTCAAGGGCGGCATCATCAAGTCTGGAAGACAGTGTGGCTGATGATATTTCTTCTCTGATTTAGGGCTGGAAGAGACATGGAGAAACCTGTTACAAGATTTACAAGGATGAGGTCCCTTTTGGAACCAACTGCAACCTGACTATAGCTAACAGGTATGACCACCAGTAAACATGTACTCGTGAACTTTTATCTCTGGGTTCCTTTGCTAACCAACCTTCTAAAAAAAAAGAAAAAAAAGAAAAGGTGCATCTTCAATTTTGTATAGTAATTCAATCATTGTGAAAATGCCTTCTAATTTGACTCTTTGTTTTGTAGATTTGAGCAAGAATTCCTGAATGATATGATTAAGAAGTATACTATATCTTCAGAAAAATACTTCTGGACTGGCCTGAGAGACGTAGATTCAAGTGGAGAGTACAGCTGGGCAAGTGTTGGTGGAGTGAAGCGATCTGTAACCTTTTCCAACTGGAATTTTCTTGAGCCATGTGAGTGTCTTTGCTTTAAAGTGATAGACTACAGTGACTTGTGAAATATAGCATATCTCCCAAATATGTTCTATATGTTCTTTGCTTATCTTTGAAATGTGAGGGAGATTATAATTTTCAAGACTGGAATCTATCTATGGAACCATAAGTAGAAGCAGTGACTAAGTCCTTGAAAGTAATAACCCAATAAAAGAGTCTAGAAAACTCAGTTCTCAGAAACCACCCTCTAATGGCATAGGGATAGAACCCGGCGTCAGTATTTTTATTTTACCTTTTTCATGTAAGTCTCAAGACAAATCTAGAAGCTTCATTTTGAAGCACTTTATATTTTCATCTCTCTGCTTCTTAACTTCTTACTCCAAAATTGAATGTGTTTGCTTCTATTATCCACAATGGGTGATAATTAAGGAGGTAATGTATTATAAGTATTATTTATTCTTTTTTAAATTATTATTTATTTTTTATTTTTTCTTTATTGATTAAGGTATTACACATGTGTCCTAACCCCCCTATTCTCCCCACTCATGCCCTCACCCCCCTGGTATCTGTGTTCATTGGTTAGGCTTGCATGCATTCCTACAAGTCCTTTGGTTGATCTCTCTCCTTTACCCCCACCCTCCTGTACCTTTTCTCTGAGGTTTGACGGTCTGATCGATGTTTCTCTGTCTCTGGATCTGGTTTTGTTCATTAGTTTATTTTGTTCATTATATTCCACAAATGAGTGAGCCACAATGGAGAACAGTATGGTGTTTCCTCAAAAAACTAAAAATGGAACTCCCATTTGACCCAGTGATCCCACTTCTAGGAATATAACCCAAGAAACTAGAAACACCAATTAGAAAGGATATATGCACCCCTATGTTCATTAGCAGCACAGTTTACCATAGCTAAGATTTGGAAACAGCCTAAGTGCCCATCAGCAGATGAGTGGATTAAAAACTAGTACATTACACAATGGAATACTATGCTGCAGTAAAAAAGAAGTAACTACAATGTCTATTCTCTCAGTCCTGTAGCCAGAAGGCCTGAAATTAAGCTTTTCTTTACCATTACTCCCACCTTCAGCCAGCTTGGTTTATCATGGGTAGTAGGAGGCAGAACCAGAGAAAAATAGCGCTTTTACAGGATAACATGGCATTTTATTTCCTGGGTCCTTGTTCCTCTTACTGTCCATGTATAAGTATGAGATGTGAGACCATATGGCTCCTCTGTTCAGTGGGAGTTGCCCTCGTTACTTCCAGTGTATGCTCTTTTCTGCCCACTTCGGGCAATGTGGTATAATGGAAAAGGGAGCATGGCACCTGGCCAGCAAACCTGGGTTTGAGTTCTGACTCCCACCACTCACTAACTATGATTGTGAGCAAGTCACTTATTAGTATTTGGAAAATGGACCTAATCATATAAACTATCTTTTAATGTTGTATGAATGAATAAAATTTAAGCTACCATAAAATAAATAGTGAAAACACATAGGTATGCCTTTATTGTACCTGCCCCTTTTTGCATCTGAATCTTTTTTTTTTTTATTGTTTGAAGTATTACAAATAGTAGTACAGATGTCTCCTTTTTTCCCCCTTGACTTCCCCCCTGCCCCCCCTATCCTCCCCAGCATATGCGTTCACCTCCCCCCCATGTCTTGTGTCCATTGGTTATGTTTATATGCAAGTCCTTTGGTTGATCTCTTACAGCCCTCCCCCCAACCTCCCTTGCCTTCACGCCATAGTTTGACAGTCTGTTCAATGGTTCTTTATCTCTATAACTATTTTCCCCCATTTCTTTTCTTTGAAAAATCTTGCAACTGCAGACTAGAAATAAACATATAATAACAAAAAACATTTGAGTCCCAATTTCAGTATCCAACAATTCTGAGACCCAGTTTCAATGTTAAATAGTTCCTTATATATACATGCCAGCAATGATATCTGGATTATTGACAGATGGTGGCAATGCAGGTCTGACCCTCTCTGGTTTGGTCCTGGGCAACCTGCAGAAACGCACAGCTGCTGACTGCTAGCATGGCCAGGCGTCGTTAGCATCTTCCATCTCTGGGCTGTTTCTCCTCTTGTCTTCGTTGTTGGAACAGACCTGACAACTCCTCTCTGTTGCAGGAATCCCCATGGTCTTGGAGTAGTTTTCTGAAAATATACAAACATATTCTCGACTAAAAGTTAATAAAGGAACCTTTTCTATAAAATTGACTTGGGATCCTTTTTATTTTTGCCCAAATGATTTTCCTTTGGCTTGTTTTGACACCATGTGTGATTTTCATGGGTGTCTTGATGTTAGCATTACAAATCACGGTAAAATTGCTTAACATGAAATGAACCTAAATCAGTCTTATTTTTGTGCAAAAACTTAAAATATAAAGTTATCAAGACTGCATTACAAAATTTACAAAAGCATCCATTAAAAAAAAAGGAGGGATAGTAGGGTAATATCATGTAAGGAAAAATATCCTATAAGTAAATACACCAAGAAAATTTTTACTGTAGAAAATTAATTTTCATTTGTAATGCTAACAGCATCTGAATCTTTAAGTGTTTTTGTTTTGAGGTTTGCTAAGATGTTTAAAGTGGTTCAAAGCTAATATAAACCACTTAGATTATGCTAAACAGCATAATGGTTTAGGGTACAGCTTGCACGCAGGACTGGATTCTACTCTTGGGTCGATCACTTACTAACATGAGACCTTGGACAAGTCACTCATCCTCACTCTACCTTAGTACAACAACAGGATCCACTCTCTAGAGGGTTTTTTTTTTTTTAATGAGGATTCAATTCATTTAATCCTCTTAGAATAGTACTTGGCATTAGCAAACACTTCTCTATATTACTATTATCATTATCACATCATCATTATTACTATGAATGCCACATTTCTTTCCTATTCTCTCTCCCCGCCTTGGCTCAGATAAGAGTAAGGACACTGGGAAATGTTTGGACTTTAATTTTAAAATATAATTTTTAATTAAACTTTCCCATTCAACCCCAGCTTCTCCAGGCGGGTGCGTGGCTATGGCCACTGGAAAGTCCCTTGGGAAGTGGGAGGTAAAAGACTGCAAAAGCTTCAGAGCACTTTCAGTCTGCAAGAAGAGCAGTGCTCCTGCTGAGCCTGAAGAAGCAGCCCCCAAGCCTGAAGACCCCTGTCCCGAAGGCTGGCAAAATTTTCCTCCAAGTCTTTCTTGTTATAAGGTAATGATGTAACATTCTCACTCAATCCCTCAGCGAAGTTATCCATCTACAATCCAAGTCCATGTCCTTGTCAGGGAGGGCATCAATGAATCTCTGGCATCAGACGGCTCTTCCCACATTAACTCATGTCCTACCCAAAAGAGCAGGCCAGAGTCAGAACTGATTCTTCCCTGGGGTTCTTTTGTTCTGGAAAGCTGGGTGAGCTTCATGCTATGCTGAAACTTTGCTTATGATTCTCATGTCCCTCTAATTCTCGTTACCAAGAGTTCTATCACGTCTTACAATGTAAAAAAATAAATAAAAAAAAGGGGGAGGGATCTCTATCAGTTAACTGTTTCCAGAAAGAAATCATTACATATCACCTCAAAATTCAGAGCCTATGACAATAAACACTTAGTCTCATGTTGATTGATAGAGTTTGGGCCTGAATGGTCAGCTCTGCTGGCCTCCAGGCTATGCATTGGGATCTTCTATGCTTCAGTTTGGGTCTCGGGCTGAGCGGACAGCAGCCAACAATGGTTTGTTCTCCTCACAGTCAGTCACTGGAACCTGAGAGTCAAGTCAAACCATGTAAGCACATTTCAGGCTTTTGCTCACTTTACCTCCATTAATATCCCATTGATCACAGCAAATCATATGGTAGAGCCCCAAGCGAATGTACAGAGAATTAGACTTCACCCACCTGGAGGCATGGCAAGAAAATATAATTATATCACAGGGAACTGAATAATTCACAGGACCAGTAATTCAACCTACCGCTGTGTCCTCTGCTCCTCCTCTTCTTTTGCAGTGACTGTGGTTCTTTTGGCACAGCATTAGTCATCACAAACCAAAGAAGTGGTCAGTGTTCCCACAGCAGTGCAGTCTGCCCTTTGATTCTTCTTCATCAGAAAAAGTCCTGTACTTCCTGAGCGGTTCTCAGTGTAATTACGTTCAGAATGATATTGTTAGCACATACATTCATATGTATAGTTTACAGCCTTATCTGCTGGTTCAACTGGTCTGTCCAGGAGGACATGGTAAATTATTGGAGCAGCTCCCAGACTGGCTGAGGAAAGTTATCCCTTGGACACAGTGGCTGGCACCTGTGCTGGCCTTTAGTGACACATTATTATTTTTTTTAAATATATTTTTATTGATTTTTTACAGAGAAGAAGAGAGAGGAATAGAGTTAGAAACATCAATGAGAGAGAATCATCGATCAGCTGCGTCTTGCACATCCCCTACTGGGATGTGCCCTTGACCAGAATCGAACCTGGGACCTTTCAGTCTGCAGGCCTACATTCTATCCAGTTTCGACTTTAGTGACACATTAGATGCACATTTACCTACCTCTTCATTACATCTATACGAATCCATTTCAGAGGCCCCTACATTTGATTATAATTGATTGATTTTAAAATAATTGGTATGTTATAATTATACATTCTATTTTGTTAAGCTGTTTCATATAGAAAGAGTTGTAAGAAAGAGGAACTGGGAAGAAGCTGAGAGATTCTGCCAAGCACTTGGAGGACACCTTCCTAGCTTCCATCATGTGGATGAAATAAAGGAATTTCTTCACTATTTAATGGACCAGTTCAGGTAATCTTTTAGAAGATTTCCTATTCTAAATTGGATGTCCTCTAGATATTCAGAATTAACATGTTTTATTATCTAAAAGGGTCATTCAGTGCATAACAGTAATTGAATATCAATTATTTTTGTGAGGGATTCAAAGATGAGGAAGACAGAGGCCCCACCTTTTGCATGGAATAATCAAGTCTAACCGTGGGGACCAGAGAATTATAGTGGAAAATCTAGCATATAGGTAATGAGGGGCCCTGAGAATTCAGAGGAGGGAGAAAATGTGTCTGGGAGGATTTCATAAATGGAAATGTTTTTTGTGAAAAAGGATATTCTTGGAAAATAAGATAATATTTTGAAAGGTAAGATAGGAGAAGGAGCCAGGGAAAACAGAATGTAAGCGAAGACACTGAGACCAGAGTGTACAGTGTGGAAAAAAGCCACTGATGATTAAACCATGAAAATAAAAAAGGAAACAGATATTGAAAGTGAATCCTGAGTAGGGGATTATAAAACCCATTTCATGAAGAAACTTTTTAATTGATGAGAATACTATGCATAATTCTGTGGAATTATTAAATGAGCAATTTCTAGGGAAATACAAATTATTATACAATTAATTTGATAAGTAGAAAACCAGTAATCCAATAGCCATGGAAGACTGAAAAGGTTGACAACGAATATCTTCCAAGAAACAAATGGGAACTACCGTATTTTTCGGACCATAAAACGCTCCGGACCATAAGACACACCAGTTTTTAGAGAAGGGAAATGAAGAAAAAAAGATTCTGAAACAAATAGTGTCCTAAAATATTTTATGTGCATTAAAACCCAACATCACAGTCATAAACACATGTAATCAACCCTGTAAAGTAAACAGCAGCATTTAGAACCATTTTAGAGCCGGGCAAGCACACAGAGACCACACAGAGCCGGGCAAGTAAAAAAACTTTTTTTTTTTTAAGTATATGTGTAGGCTATATTTGGACCATAAGACGCAGGGACTTTTCCCCCCCACTTCTGGGGGGAAAAAAGTGCGTCTTATGGTCCGAAAAATACAGTATATAGTTCTATATGTGAATTCCTTCACATCTTACTAAAGAGGTCATCACCAAATATTTAAATAGTACAAGCAAGAGCTTGCATTCCGTTACATAGAAACTTATGCAACCATCTGTGGTTTCCCCCCACAAACTAGTCTGGGTCTGATATCAAAGCCTTCCAACAATAGCACAAAGAATTACAGACCAACCTCATAAATAGACTTTAAAAAGTAAATAGCAACAGCTGTTTTAATAACAGACACTTGGATAATGTTTATTATGCACCAGAAATGTCCTAAGTGTTTTATCTATTCATTTAATTCTTACAACCTATGAGGCAGATATTATTACTATGCCCATTATATCTAAACAAGAAGACAATCACAGAGAAGTAAAACTGCCCAAAGTTAAACAGCTAGTAAGGAAAGGGGAATAGTTGAACCCATTAGAGCCCATGTTCTTAATCCACCAACATATAACACCTCAGAATAACTCACCTTGACAATGTAGGATTTCTTTAAAGAATATTAGGTTGAGTCTATATATCAAGGCAAATATGATGCAGTCATCTTAATAGATTCTGAAGCAATGGTTCTCAACCTTTCTAATGCCGTGACCCTTTAATACACTTCCTCATGTTGTGGTGACCGCCAACCATAAAATCATTTTTGTTGCTACTTCATAACTGTAATCGTAATGTAAATATCTGTGTTTTCCGATGGTCTTAGGTGACCCTGCTAGCAGTTCTCAACCTGTGAGCCTAAGACTACCGGGGGTTTGCAGGAGGCAGCAGATCCATGATTCTCTCTCATCATTGATGTTACTATCTCTCCTTCCCTCTTCCTTCCTCTCTGAAATCAATAAAAATATATCTTTAAAAATAAATTAGTATATATCAATAAAATTTCATTGCAGAGCAGCTTAAGCTCATTTGGACATACTAACTCTTAGGTTCCTTTTAAGGTGTTTCTTACCTACTCCCCTCAATCTTGAGGGGTAGATTATAATGAATGCAAACCTCACAGCAAGTCTTTCCACACAAACAGACATTTATTAAACAAGCATTCATTGAAGCAGGCACAAAATGTTTCATACCACCTGACTGGTGAGCTTGACAACATCCCAGCAGTCTGTCTTTTTAGGTGTTTCCACCACTGTCTTGAGTGGCAGGTTTATTTGGGGTAGATGTGACAACATTCTCGAGGTGGGACTCTTCTAATTTTTGTCAGAGTCATGCATTCCCAAAAACCGGACCCATGACGGGACGTGTGACCATTGGGAGCCCAAGCCCCAGGTCCATTGCCAGTGGTGTAGGAGCTACTAGCCTCACCAGATTCTGATATGCCTCCCTGAAAGGTGAGAGCCTCTAAACATTTTAGCCATTCCTCATTTCTTCAATAAGTTCAGTTTCACCAATGAGACTTTTTCTAATATGTTGATTAACAACAAGCTTCTAATTTCACTGCTATAAAACCATGTCTGACATTCTCTCTGCTAGTTACCAAAGCCTCAAGTGTGGCTTTGAACGACAGATGTCCTTGAGGTGACTGCCTCTGGAACATGGCCGTTCCATGCCTTTCTGGTCCTCCCTGAAGTAAGAATTTCATCAGGGTAACTTACAGGCCCCCAGATCTCAAGCTTGGCACACACATATCATGCTGTCTAGGCTAGAGCATTTTTAAGTAAAATACTGGCATACATCAGATTTTGAATTACACCAAGGAAGAGGTTACGAGCCTTTAAATGGAACAGGGAGCCATGGGGAGTACTAAGCAATGAAATGATAGGTATTTGTGGGAATCAACTGATGGGAAACAGAATATCATATGTGACATAAGGGATCCCTAAGGGCTTCTATATGCAAAATAGATTACATTAAAAATCAAACCTAAAGTCTGAGTGATAAGTACAAAAGCTTTCTTGATCTGTTTCTTAGTTTCTGATCACACTTGCTGGGGCTCCTAACCCCAATTTAAAGAGTGATGCAAGTTTATTATGTAAAATTTGTGAAATAGAAAAATAACAATGAAGAAAATAAAAATCACCTCAAATCCTAGCTCCAAGTTGTAAACAGTTAACATTTAGTGTAACACAGAATGTACAATGGTGTGTTTTCTTTCTGACCACAAAAGTAATGCACATTGAATCTAGAAAACAGAAAAGCACAAAGAAAAACAACCATAATCCTCTCGCTCTTAAGGACTATATTGTATTACAGTCTCACCCCAGCAGCTAACACAATGCCATATTAAGCACACTGTGTTGTCTGCTTGTGCACTCCATTAATAATGAGATCGTTTGCCCATGCTATATTTAGAAAGACAGCATATTCTAAAAGCAATATTGTGACCATGGGAAGGAAGGAAGGAAGGAAGGAAGGAAGGAAGGAAGGAAGGAAGGAAGGAAGGAAGGAAGGAAGGAAGGAAGGAAGGAAAGAAGCCTATTTACATCAGAAGAATGATTCTAAAGCTTATTCTTGAACACCTTGGCTTTTTATTGCAGGAATTGACCTTTCTCAGTAAGAGTCCACTACCCAATTTGTGTATTGCATGCCTAAGAGTTAAGTCAGATTACTGCTGTACTTCTCACAATCTACATTCCACATCTCTATTTGTATTTCAATGAAAAGGATTCATGGTGGACCAGTCTTAAAGGCTCTAAGATCTTTGCAACTCTTAATGGCAGCCCACCAGGGAAAGCCATTGTAGAGCGAAAAACAGTCATAGGATTAGAAAAGAAAAGCCTTGTTTGCAATGCCATTGCTGCTGTGTGCACTACCTCCTGTGATGCAGCATGAATGGATTTAGATATAAATCCAAGTTTTGCAGACTAAGCGCCCTCATCAAATAGTATTTATGAGAAGTTATGGCTGAGATACTGTTTTCCTCGGAAACCAGATGCAGCAGGAAGTTTGGCTGAGAGTGGGAATTTTCACACAAATACACACATTAACCTTTCATGCAATGCCTTCTTAGCCTAACAGTCTTAACAAGTATACTTAGTGCTTGGATTAGGAGAAATTTATAAATAGAGATAAAATTTCAGGAGATTTGAGTCCCTAATTATGGTCAATTGTTTTTCTCAATTTTTCTAAAATCCACAGTAAAGCTATGCAATGATTAATGTAATTTCCAATTTCTTCTCTTTATTTGCCTTTAGATAAATCAGGTCAAGCGAGAAATAAGCTGTAATTGAGAAAATATTTTCTACCTCTTCTCACACAGGAAAAACATGCACAAATAGCTACTATTTTCTTTATTTATAACACACAAATGTGTCTCTTAAAATGGAAGCTGAAAACTCTAAATGTCTGGGTTGAAATGAAGTTCAAACTCAGGGAGTAGTGAAAATTAGGAATTAAGGACAGTAGGGCAAACTCGGCTCTCTAGGAAATTGTACTTGAGATACAGCCGAGGAGGCAGAAATGGGCCTGAAGGTTAGAGCTTCTAAGTGGGAAAAAGTGAAGCCAAGAGAAAACTGGGTGGACATGTTGGAGATACATCTCTAAAGAATCTTTGGCAAATAATATTTTATTATCTTTATGTTTGTATTGTTGATTGTGTAAAGAAGAGAAACTATCTAATGATTGTTTTAGGGCAACACAAAATTCTGCACAAATTCTCCAAAACTTAACCTTTTCATTTCAGCCATCTAGTTTTAATTATATTGTATATGGCAATTGCCTCAACCCTGTGGTTTAGCTATTCAACAATGGGAAGTATGGTACATTTGCAAGCCTGGAAGAAAGCTCTTGATTAGTTGCAGACACCAACTACACACCCCTCTTACAGCTGCTAAGTTCAAAGCGGACTTAACTGTCTCCATGGAATTTTTTAAAGTCTGCAAATTGGTGATCTTCCTCTGTCAAACAATACAATACAACGGTCAAAACTGAAAGAGGACAGTCCTGATATTCCAGTGCAGGAAGCTGAAAGGTTGAAATTGAAAAGATGAATAGGTCGCCCTAGCTGGTTTGACTCAGTGGATAGAGTGTCGGCCTGTTGATTGAAAGGTCCCAGGTTTGATTCTGATCAAGGGCATATATTAATATTATACCTTGGTTGCAGGCACATCCCCAGTGTGGGGTGAGCAGGAGGCGGCTGATTGATGTTTCTCTTAAAGACAAGAAAAACAATATTTTAAAGATAAAGAAAAACAATTATTTTATTAAAAAATAAGGAATTAAAGTAAAACTAAGTTTGCTCTAGCCTTTGATTTACTAGCAAAAGTTTTAAATCCAAACTTCTTGTATTTTCCATTGGTCTTGTAGCTGTACCTTCCATGATATCCTATATGTTCTACTGAGCTTGAGAGTGAGGATTAATTTTAGATTTTGATCCTACTCCTTCTCTAATATGTGTTATATTTATATACATATATTTCTATGTATATATAGTCATGCATTCATAAGTACTGACCATACATACATATGCAATCAGAAAGTTAAATTATATAAAAAGAAACAAGCATCACACACACAAAAATATTACATGGAAAATAGCCTACTTGTTAAGGCCTAGAAAGTGTAATACATTTTACAGAATATTTTCAAGTTAGAGGAGGAGAAAAATCTTTTATGGTTATATCACTTCTATTTATATTGGCAGTATCTCTCTGGCTAGAGCATAAATTTCATTGAGGGGAAGAAATCACTTATAATGTATGTCCCTGCCTCTGTGTATTGTTGTTTATATTCTTCCTTGGACTACCTCTCCTTTCTCTTCTCAGCCAATCTGAATACTGGCATATGGTAAAAACTCAGAAGTCTGTCTTAGTCCTCCATCCTCACAAATTTTCTGACTTCCTGCAGAAACCATGAACCTTTCCTTTCACTGAACTTTTGTAGTGTTAAAAATGTATGCAAATATCATATAATTTGATGTCTTTAAACATGGTCTTATATTTTCTTTGTTCACATATATCTTGTCTCTCTGACTGTTTATATGCCATTTGAGAATAGATATTAGGTCTTGTACTTCTTTGTATTACCATTTCATGTAGCTCAATAACTTGTACATAAAAGTATCATAGTTATGATATAATCACTTCAGTGATTGCTTAATTTTATATTGCTCTGCTATAGCCCATGGAGTTTGGCATTTAGAAAATACTTGTTTACTTTAAATTTTATGGGCAATGTGAATTAAATAATTGTTTAAGAATCTTGTTTAATAAAAATTTAACCAAATGTGTTTGTTCTGCATTTTAAAGAGATGGTATTTGACAGGGCTATAGACAGATGCTTTAAAGAAATGCCATCGTCATATATTAACTGTTATCTGGTGACATTGCTAATATTGAAACTCTGCAGTAAAAGTTTTAGGATAATCATATACTTTTTTCTTAAGTTCAAAGTGGAATAGTTTTTGCCTTGCATGAAAGGAAATAACTTAAAATTTAGTTTTAAAAAACTATGGTACTTTTTCACAGCTACCCAAATGTAGAGATTGGTTTCTTTTCAGAAGCCTTCTTTATATAGCTTTTCCGTTAGTGACAGGTCTTCTGGAAAAACTTACACTTCCTAAGCATTTTAGACATGTGAATGCTAAATATTTTTGCCAAAGGCCATGCTCAATTTTTTTTAACACTTGCTTTTTACATAGTGGCGAGCGATGGCTGTGGATAGGTTTGAATAAAAGGAGCCCTGACTTACAAGGATCTTGGCAATGGAGTGATCGTACACCAGTAAGTTTAAACTTTCTTGTTTGGGGTAATATTGAAATAGTATTTGTTTCAATAACAAGTAAGTTGATTATTAAATAATACATCCACATATCATGCAAGCATTAAATTATTTTGCAGATGTATCTTTATTGAAATGGAAATAGATTCACAAGTATGAAATATGGATAAAATAAGCTACTAACCTTGCTTTTATTTAAAAATAAATATATGTTTAGGCTTTCTCTATAAAATGCAAATGTATAAAAATATAGTTATATAGTAGATATAATGGTCATCTTTTACAATTAATTTCTTCTTTTTCTTTGTAATTGTTTTCTTTTTTTCATAATGGGAAGCTTTTACTTTACTGTTAAAAAATATAGGAGTTATGTAAAAAAAAGAAAAAATTAAAAAAAAAATGCCTTGCCCTGATCAGCAGGGCTCAGTGGTTGGAGAGTCTGCCCACGCACCAGAGTAATGGTTTGATTTCTGGTCAAGGGCACTGTTACCTGGGATGTAGGTTGGATCCCTAACCCTAGTCAGGATGTGTATGGAAGGCAACCGATGGATGTGTCTCTCACATCTATGTTTCACTCTTCCCTTCTCTCCCTCTTTCACACTCCCTCCCTTCCACTCTCTCTGAAAATTAATGGAAAAAAACATCCTCAGGTGAGGATTAACCAAAAAGAAGAAGAAAGCACCTTACTTGAGAAAAATGATTTGTTTGGAGGAACCCTAAAAAGTCCTTAAATATTATATCAAATATTTACATTATCCTAAAGATGAGTTTTAGGTAACACTTATAAGAGCAGATAATTCTCAAATATTTAACATTCACTCCACATCAGTGTTGTATATTCTTTCTAAATGTGAAATTCCTTGGCTTTCATTTTCAAATTGGAGCATATCTGAGAATAGTTCATCCAACAACTAGCATTTTAACACATGGGGGAGGAAAAAAAAAGTATTTTGCCAGCCTCTGATTCTGTGATTCCAACTGTGAAAATAATACACCATTAACCTCCACTTTCAAAAACTGTCATCTTCCTTTGTCTGGAAACTGATGACATTATGACATTTTCTAAATCCTCTCGTGATTTAGCATCCTCAGACAGAAAAGGAAATGAAAAAGTTTTCCTCCCATGGCCTAGAACCACATTTGAATTATTAAAGCTGCCTAAATTACATCTAAATTGCAAATATTTATGCATCAGTCTTAAATTCTCAAGCCTCTCTGTCTTTGAAGGTGTCTACTTTTATGATGGAAAATGAGTTCCAGCAGGATTACGATGTCAGAGACTGTGCTGCTGTCAAGGTCAGTATGACGCTGGGAAATCTGCATGTGTTAACAGTAAGTCCAGCATCATGTGCAGTTCGGCTCAGATCCATGGAGTGCCTTTTGTGTGTGGTATTATGTGTGATGGGAGGTAAAGTATACACATGGCCCAGCCCTCAAGAAACCTAACTGATACTTAAGTTGAGAAGGTAAAATTCATATTCAGGAAAGACAGCTCTATTGCTATGCAGTAATAAGCCTAAATGAGTGGGCTTTATAAAGAGGGCTAATGAAACTCAGAAGAAGAAATGATTCCTGTAGCATATTTCCAGAAAGAGGCGGGACTTGAATGAGGCCTTCAAGAAGGGATAAGTTTTGGTCCAGGAGGATAGTTAAAGCTCCCTAATAGGGAAATTGTAAGAGGAAGTGTTATAAATTCAAGTAGGAGTGGAAGGGAGACAGTAAGGCAGTGAGGCAGAATACAGATCAAGAAGTCTTAATTGGTGTTGTTTGGAAAACAAAGTTGGGGAAAAGATTGCTGCCTACACTTGTACATTTTTGTACATTTTTTTTTTTTTTGGTAGGCAACAGAGTATTTTTCAAAGTTTTTGACATTAACTAAAGAAGGTGTGAGAAGACTCATCTTGAGACAGATTTCAAGATGCAACAGATAGGACCAAAAGACATTAAAAAAAATGAGTTATGCATCTTTCTTTGCAGAGTTGATTCATTTATCCATTTTGTAAGTAATATGCTCAAGAAGTCAGTGACACTTTGGAGGTACAGTCATGACAAAGTATAACATAGCCATTGTCTCCACAGAACTTACAGTCTGATTGGAGATAAACACAAGTAAGCAAGTAATTACACGGCTTACGGCAGGCAAAGTATAAGTTTTATGCAAGGACAGAGTATACGTTTTATGAGAGAGTGAAGACTGTGGTGGTGGTGGTGATACAGCTGTTAATACTTATTGACTCATGAGCCAGGCACAGTATTAGGCCTGTCACATATATTACTTCACTTAATACTTAAGCAACCTTGTGAGATAAGTACTATTACTATATTCACCTTACAAGGAAGAAATTGTAACTCTGGAACTTATGTAGTTACAGAACTAAAATTTCAGCCCACATGGCTGAGCACGCTATGCCATGTCCACTGTGACTAGGCATTTATGGAAACAGTCAGAAAGAGTACTGGTTTATGGAGAACATAGTACATTTTAGTTTAGATATTTTGAATCCAACCTAGAGGTAAGAAATATAGTGAGTAGAAACCAAGGTACTAGAATTGGAGGGAAAAATGTATATAAAATGAAGTACCAAAGGGCCAATAAGTAGATTTAGGGGAATTGCCAACACATAAAATGTAGGAAGATGAGGGGGGGAAAAGAGAGATCTAGATAATATCTTAACTATGTAAACCCAAAAATAGTTCAAGAAGGTGATTGACCAGATACGTTACAGGAGGGTTGAGACAAAGAACTGAAGAGGCTATTGAAAAGCACTATTTTCAAAGTACGTAGCTGTTCTAGTAATAAACTGTATAGTATCAGACCACTTTTTAGCATTCGAAAAACACATGAATAGGTGAAAACTTAAGAGAAGAAGGTGAAGTTTCTATCCATAGAACACTGATGCAATTAGACTATCGTCTCTTCAGAGTCCCCATATGTGAAAAGATTGAAAAAATATACCAAAAATAAATAAATAAAAGAGCCACTGATGTTGCCTGCATCAGGAATAAGGGCAGCCAGGGCAGTGTTCTAGAAGGAGAATCTTACCTCGCCTGCCACTGTACCCACAAGAATGTTGGCCTTAAGAAAAAACATCCCAAAAAATAACGGATGTTCCTCCCAGGATGCCAGCTGGAATTTGTGGAGTGCCATCTTGGACCATGTGGAGAGGACAACATCCTAGGAATGCAGGGCAACACCAAAGAAGGAGCCTGGGCCCCTGATGCCAGACCTTTATGTCACGTCTCAGATATCTATCAATATTTTAATACAGCCTAGTGTTTAGAAACCAGTGAGCCAAATATTCTTTCCTAGCATGACCTGTCCCAAATTTAATGGTACAAGATTCTACAATTTCATAACAACAACAAAAAAACACACAATAATTTACATTTTGGACATAAACATGATCTTATGATATATCCCTTTATCAGCCTCTTGCATTCCATTCATGTACTTTTTTATTAAAAAATATCTTAGTGCTAGAGCTAAAAGAGTTAAAAAAAAAAACAAAAAACAGCTTAGTATTTTATAAGGGTTGCATCAACTTCAAAATAATGTGCAATCCTCTTTCAGGTCATGCAGAGGCTATGGCGAAGAGGCTGGCATTTCCACAATGACAGAGAATATATTTATTTAAGGCCTTTTGCTTGTGATACAAAACTGGAGTGGGTGTGTCAGATTCCAAAAGGTAAGTGGCAGTTATCCCTTTTCACTGTCTTTTTCGTGGAGACATTGTAAGAGTCTCCATGCCTTGCCCAAAGAGAGCCAGGAGTCTAAATGACTCTTAGTCTATAATTATAATTTTTTAAAAACCTTTGAAGATGCAATTAATATTATATATTGAGCTTCAGCCTGTCTTATGCTATCCCTCATAGAAGACTGGATTATTGAAATTTGATAGTACCTTCCTCTTTTATCACGAAAGAATTTGTATAAAAGATAAAATTTAAGGCTAATTTAGGGTGATTAGATCTTGGAATGAAAGATTATTTTTAAATAAAAGAAGCAGTGTGACAGAGGGAACAATTTGGTTTTTTATTATCCCCACCTGAGAATATTTTTTCCTATTGATTTTCAGAGAGAGTAGAGAGAGGGGAGGAAAAGAGAGAAACATCAATGAGAGAGAAAGAGAGAGAGAGAGAGAGAGAGAGAGAGAGAGAGAGAGAGAGAGAGAGAGATCAATTAGTTGACTTCCACACACACCCCAACCAGGGCCAGGGCCAGGGGTGAACCTGCAACCCAGGTACATACTCTTGACCTTAATCAAATCCATGACCCTTTGGTGTGTGTGGCCATATCATACCTTTGTGACTTCCATGGTATAAGGTGGAGAACTGTTAGTGATACTTTATTAATATTCATCAGATCTGCTTTTTTATTGCCACTATAATAGCTTTAGCGTAGTCCCCACAGACTTTAAATCTAAGTGATCATAACATGAAAGGAAATGGTTCAGCAAGAAGTGGACAAACCTCAGCAACACTGTGAGGCCTCTGTAGATTGAAGACCCTGACTTATGTATGCAATGTCCTATAATTGGACACTAAACTTGAGCCACTTGCTTTCTTCCTCATACAGGTCATACTCCAAAAACACCAGACTGGTACAATCCAGGTGAGTTAAGAAAACTTAGCCAAAGCTGCCTTTACTTTTTCAATGATGCATCTACTTTATTTAAACCCAGGCCTGAGTGACAGTTTCTTCTGTATCACATCTCCAACTTAGATGAAGTGTCTCCAGGGAGGGAGGTGATTGGCTGTGGTGGGGTAAGGCTACGAGGGTGGATTTGTCTTTCTCTGTGACTCCTGGTGGCAGTCACTGGCCCAGGAGTCCTCAGGAAGCACTGCCCTGCCCAGAGAGAGCCAGGAGTCTAAATGAATTACAATTTTAAAAAATTCTGAACATGAATCCATGCTTAGAGGGTGCAATTTGATTTACACAGTCATAACTTTGATATTCTTTTCCTTTAGAGCGTGCTGGAATTCATGGACCTCCAGTTATAATAGAAGGAAGTGAATATTGGTTTGTCCCTGAACCTCGCTTAAACTACGAAGAAGCTGTCCTATATTGCGCCAGCAACCAAAGCTCCCTGGCTACTTTAACATCTTTTGCAGGACTAAAAGCCATCAAAAACAAAATAGCAAATGTAATTTTAAAAAGAATGTATTTTTAAATATTGTTCTTATTTTTGTATTTATTTCATTAATATTTTTTCAAAATTCTTGCCAAAAATCTACAAAAGTTAAATGTTCCTCTCAAGAAAAATTTGCCTAACAACATTCAAATCCCTCGTTTCTTGTTAGACATGTTAACTTTAATTGCTTATGGTTTATAATATTCAAGACTAATTATGAATATCGATTTATACAATGAACAGCAATAGATATTATAAATTATCCTAAGTTCTTATCACATTTTTTACTAAAAGTTAACTTTATAGTTAACTTGAGTTTCTGTTTCTACTAATAACTAACTTTGCAAAATATCTTTTTGGAGGAAAAATAATTTGTTCATCTTTAAATTTATAATTAGTTGTGATAGAACACTATATGTCCAATTGATGTATGCCCATAATTACAGCAAGCATATTTTCTATATGAAAAATAGGGCCTTTGAACATACAAAGAGTTTTTAAACTACTCTTTTGATGAAAGGAACTGGTTTGTGTAATTTAGATAGCAAAGTAACGGAATGTTTGGAATATAGTGTTTTGTGGTTATGATGGGATGAGGGTAAATTAAAACTCTCCTAGAAAACTCAGCACATATAAGAATGGACATTTGGTTTGTTTTTCAGATATCTAGTGATGAGCAGAAGTGGTGGGTGAGAACCCCTGAGCAGCCAATAATAGATCGTCATTATATATAGTATGTATTATTATTGATGCTACCTTTAAAAAGTGATTTGAAAGAAGCAGTTCCAAATTCCCTTTTAATAAATGTATTATTACCCTTTTTAAAATATATTTTTATTTATTTCAGAGAGGGTGAAATAGAAACATCAATGATGAAAGAGAATCATTGATTGGCTGCCTCCTGCATGCCCCCTACCAGGGACTAGCCTACAACCAGGGCTTGTGCCCTGACGGGGAATTGAACCATGACCTTGTGGTGACCTTGTGGTTTATAGGCCAATGATCAACCACTGAGCCTCACCTATTGGACTAAATGGATTACTTTTCATAATTAGTTTTGTTCATTAATCCATACACTGCCTAGATTAGAGAAACCAAGTCCTTTTGCATATTTACATTAAATAATTTAAGGTGTATAAAATAATGGCATAAATCTAGAATTAAAATTACTCACAGTAAACACCAGAATGGGACATGTAACTATATTCTAAGTTGTCAAATCTCTCATTTTCTTTCAGCTCAAGACATTCGTGGCATCACTTTCCTATAACGTTTGGACAGGAATGTCTGTACCTATCTCCCAGGACTTGGCTTAGCGGTAAAATTAATTCCAAACCCTTGAATGTTGATTATGTAATTTGTGAAATCCAGGTTCAATTACTAGTTTAATTTTATTTTCCCTTTGATTATGGGTTTGGTAGCTTTATCTTTCCTGACTTATTGCTAATCACAATAGCACAATTTCCAGGTGCAAGTAAAGTTACTTCTGACTGTGAATATTTTTACTTCGTTTATTCTAAAGTAATTACTTACAAATAAACTTACCGCTTTCATAACTAATAACAAATTTGCAAAGATGAACAAGCAGCAGTTCTAAAATATAGTTTTGGTCCCTTTCCCCTTCATTAGCCTACTTCAACTCTATTTCCCATCATCGGGAACTGTGGTAACTGTGGTTGTTACTCCGTATGTACGCATTTTTATAGGCAGTATTGGTATGTTATAACCTACTGATATGAATAGTGCTAGAAGACATAAATGGCTAGAGAAAAGAATGACTATATTTTAACCACATGGGAATTAATTTAAATAGACTTTTTTTATGACTGGATTGTTTTTTAAGTGTACTGGATGGAAAATCTCACCACAGTAATCCTGCTTTTCATTTCTCAGACTTAAATAAACCAGCAGACTGTAATACCAAGTTGCCCTTCATCTGTGAAAAATATAATGTATCTTCATTGGAGAAATATAGTCCAGATTCGGCAGCTAAAGTACAATGCTCTGGGAGTTGGATTTCTTTTCTGAATAAGGTAAAAAGAGAATTGCTACATTGTGCAAACGATGATTGCTTTCATGATGGTTGTATGGCCTCTGACAGAATGGCAATCCATCAAATAACTTCACTAAGACAGCCTCTGCATATTTCAATATCTCACCTTAGTCAGAAACCAAATTAACTCTCAAGTTAGTCATGCCTACAGCTCTTTCAAAATAGTGTGTTCCTATTCTGTTATTATTTGCACCTAAATTGCTGAAGTTCCAGTATCAACAGATAGTAATACATTGAAGTCAAGACTATCTCTATGGCATATAGGAAACTGCAATTTCTGGCTGATAAATTTCCCCCTTATGAAAAACATCCACCCAACATCTACTGATCAAACTAGACTCGCATTTCCCAACTCCTTTTTGGAAACTACACATATGCCAACCAAATGTTAATTACTGATCTTGCCTCTGATGTATCAATAGTTTACGATTAAATAGGTTTGGGAAATGTTACATTCTATACTTGCTTCTTTGAGATGCATAATCCGTATTGGCATATATATATCTCTTAGGGACATATTTGACTGCTGAAAAGAGAGATAGGTACAGTATTAAAACATTTATTCTATTACATAAAAGAAGTTTGAAGGTAAGCAGCTTGGGGTTAGTATGTAAACTCTATGAATTCCTCAAAGCCGGGCTCCTTTTGTCTTTTTCCTCTGCCATGAGGCTTTCAACCCCAAACTCGGGTATTTTCTCGAGTCTTCAAGAAGCCACACAATGACTTGTATGCCCTAGGCCGCTTCATGCTATATGGAAGATTAAATAAAAACATTTTGTTGAATGTTTCAAGGAACACAATTTAGAACATACTACTCCACATTAATCCTATATAACAAAAGCCTAACATGCTGTATCTGGTCGGCCATTCAACCAATCAAAGCGTAATATGTTAATGATATGCTAAGGTCACTCAACTGCTCACTATGATGTGCACTGACCACCAGGGGTCAGACAGTCTACCAGTCGCTATGATGTACACTGACCACCAGAAGGCAGACCCTCCGACCCATAGGTTAGCTTGCTGCTGGGGTCTGGCTGATTGGGACTGGTCATGCACTGGTGGGGTCCCTGGTCTAGCCTGCACCCTCTTGCAATCCAGGACCCCTTGGGGGATGTCAGAGAGCCGGTTCTGGCCCAATCCCACAAACTAGGCCAAGGGACCCTACTGGTGAACAAATTCATGCACTGGGCCTCTAGTATGATTATAACATCAAAAAGAAAAAGGAAATGTGTCTGACAGCTAGAAAAATCTGTAGTAAAGCTGAAATATTAGGGGTATATTTTGATATTTTAAAACTAGGACAGTCTTTTCCCCCCAAAGTACTAGTACTAAATTTATACAGTCAATGTAAATTGAATCAAAATATTCTGCCAAGGGACAGGGAAATAATTTGTTTTTTTAATTATTTCTTTTTATATATAAGGAGGTGATGATTAAGAATACAAACTTTAAAATCACATGGGAACTAATGTGGTCTAAATGCTGACCATACCATTTTATGGCTATTTCACTTATGGGTAAAGTTAGTTACTGTACCTGTGCCTCCGTTTCCCCAGTTGTTAGAATTAAATGAGATAATATGAAACAAACTATTTAGCCCAGATGAAGCACTCAATAAATGGAAGATATAAAAAGTAGTTCAAAGACCTCTCTTCAGTTGTTTATATAGAGAGCATAGATCTGCATTTTTATAGTACTACTTTATAAATTTCCATACCTGTGAGATACAGACCAAAAATTAGCATCCTTGCCCTCACCGGTTTGGCTCAATGGATAGAGCATCAGCCTACTGAAGGGCCCCAGGTTTGATTTCGGTCAAGGGCATGTACCTTGGTTGTGGGCACATCCCCAGTAGAGGGTGTGCAGGAGGCAGCTGATCAATGTTTCTAACTCTATCCTTCTCCCTTCCTCTTTGTAAAAAATCAATAAAATATTTTTAAAAAATTAGCAACCCTCTGAAAGATGAGACATTTATTTCCTATGTGAGCTTTCCCATGACTGGAATCTTATGCTTCATGTACGTTCTTTGTTTGCAGTGTTTCCTAAAGCTTAAACCCAAGTCTCTTACGTTTTCTGAAGCAAGCAGTACTTGTCACACCTACGGTGGCACCCTTCCTACAGTGCTGAGCCAAAGAGAACAAGGTAGCAGAACTGTTTTTGGAAACATGGTTTATTCTGATGTGGGAGCAAAGTTAGTTTTGGGAGGCTGGGGGGAATCTACATAGTTTTTAAATCTTATTAAACTATTTTTTGTACAGAGTAGGTAAAAGACTATCATAATAGATAAGCAGGAGGCAATCATTGACATTTTTAGTGTATTTTTAATTTTAATAAGTCAAATGCTTTCTTTAAAAACCTCTTTCTGACAGATTTTATTACATCGTTGCTTCCGGAGATGGAAGATGCTCTTTGGATTGGTTTGCGCTGGACAGCCTTTGAAAGAATAACTAAATGGATAGACAACAGAGAGCTGACATACAATAACTTTCATCCATTCTTGGTTGGTCGGAGGCTAGCAATACCATCAAATGTAAGTTTTTTGGACTCAGTAATCTATGTAGCTCTATGAAATTCTCGAGTCTTCCATAAATTATTGGACTAAGAACAAGGGCCTGCTATATGAGTCCATTTATATAAAATACCCATAAAGTAGATTCATGGTTGCCAGACCTAAAGAGGATGGAAGGATTGAGAATGATGGTGAAAGGGTACCAGGTTTCTTTTGGGGGAGGTGAAATGTTCTGAAATCGATTGGAGGGTAATGGTTGTACAACTCTGTGAATATACTAAAACCTATGGAATTTATGCTTTTAGTGGGTGAATTATATTGTCTATCAACTGTATCTCAATAAGATTGTCACAAGAACAAAAACAGCAGTAGCTTCTCTAGCTTTCATGTGTATGCCTTCATTTTTCGCAATAGCATCAGATCCACATCCCTGTCACGATGATGTAAAACTGTCAAGTAGTGAGTTGCAAACAGAAGCAATTATAAATGCTTTACTTAATATTTTGGGATTTGAAGCTGTCAACTTGTCTCTTGAGGCAAAATGTACAAAATTGGTGATTAATGATCATTTTTCCCTAAGAGTTAAATATAAAGAAGCAATAAAATGAGATTAGGCATTATATTAACAACTAGAGGCCCAGTGTATAAAATTTGTGCACTGGGGGAGGGGAGGTGTCCCTCAGCCCAGCCTGCACCCACTTCAATCTGGGACCCCTCGCTTTAGGCCCAATCCTGACAGTCAGACATTCCTCTCACAGTCCGGGACTGCTGGCTCTCCTGCCTTCCTGCCTGATTGCCCCTAACCATTTCTGCCTGCCAGCCTGATCACCCCTTAACCACTTTCTTGATTGACAACTAACTTCTCCCCTGCAGGCCCAGTCACCCCCAACTGCTCTCTCTTGTCAGCTGATGGCCCCAACTGCTGTTGGCCATCTTTTGGTGGCCATCTTGTGACAATGTGGGGGTAGTCATCTTGTGATGACAGGAGGGCACAAGGGCCACCTAGGCTTTTATTTATATACAATTGCCTATATCATGAGATTGCTGCCCACAGCTTCTGTCCTCCCTATTTGCTTGATACAAACCACCTTTTGTACAAAGAGCAAAGATTAAGAAATTAACTTAAAAATTGAATTCCAGAAATACAACCTAGACAATGACTCTGTAATCATTTTCCCTAATCCTAGCTAATGATCTAGCATTATTTATTGCATTTATTTCCATTTGTTAAAAACAATATAGGCTCAGCCAGAGTGGCTCAGTGGTTGAGCATCAACCCATGAGCCAGGAGATCGTGGTTTGATTTCTGGTCAGGACACATGCTCAGGTTGCTGGCTCAATCCCCAGTAGGGGCCGAGCAGGAGGCAGCAGATGCATGTTTTTCATCATTGATATTTCTATCTCTCTTTCCTTCTCCCTTTCTCTCTCTGAAAAATCAATAAAAACATTTTTTTAATGAGATATAGGATGCCTTCTTTGTTATACCGTTTATGACATGTATCTGTATATAAGATATAATCTTATACAGCAATCTCACAGATCTAAATACTCTAATTTTGCCATATTTAAAAATATATCTTTGGAGAAAGGTGGTGCTTTGTCCACACCCATCTCTACTGCTTTTCTGTGTGTGTTCTTAATCAAGTTATTTAAAATTCACACTTTAAAAAAAATTTTAAAAAAATAAATAAATAAATAAAATAAAAAATAAAAAAAATAAATTAAAAAAAATATATATATATATATATATGACTGGATATCTTTAATTATTTGCCTTTAAGATATTTTTAGTATTCTTGTCCATTCTTCCAGGCAAACTATGCTTAGTGAATTTCCAGTCAAAACAATTAAATAAAAAATTCTGAGGACAATCTGACAATATTTTAGAGATAATTCACAAATTTTTATTACTCTTCTAATTCAAGAATATAATATAGCCAAAACTGGTTTGGCTCAGTGGGTAGAACATTGGCCTGCGGACTGAAAGGTCCCAGGTTCGATTCCGGTCAGGGGCATGTGCTTTGGTTGCGGGCACATCCCCAGTGGGGAGTGTGCAAGAGGCAGCTGATCGATGACTCTCTCATCGATGTTTCTAACTCTCTATCCCTCTCTGTACAAAATCAATAAAATATATATTTTTTAAAAAGAATATAGTATAATATCCCTCTGTTCAAGTCTTCTTTTATATCTCTCAAAGAAGTTTTTATAGCAGTTGTCTTACTGCCATTGAGATGGCATTCTTCTTGATTTTCTTACTGATATGTAGGAAAGCTATTGTTTGGAATTTTTATATTTTTACTGGAGGCCCAGTGCATGAATTCATGCATGGGTGGGGTTCCTCGGCCTGGCCGAATATCGGGGCTGATCAAGTGGGGAAGGACCGTGGGAGGTTGGCTGGCTGCAGGAGGTTTGCTGTGGGAGCACACTGACCACCAGGGGGAAGCTCCTGCTTTGAGCACCTGTCCCCTGGTGGTCAGTGCACATCATAGTGACTGGTCATTCAGTTGACGGGTTGTGTTACTTAGGCTTTTACAGAGAGAAATTTCATAGACATCCATCTTATTAAAAGCCCTTATTACTTTTTAGAGTTTTTCACTAGGTTTCCTTATGTTTCCTAATAAAACAATTTTCAAATAACAATTCATGCTTCACTACATATTGTATAACTACTAGAACCATGGTAAATACGAGGGGTGATAAACACCTTCCTAGACTTGATCTAAACTCTCATGGGCCTATCTGTAGTCTTTCACTATATGATGTTGTCCCTTTAAGACATATTTTTGTTTAACTAGCTTATTTTGAATTTTTATTCAGGAATAAGTACTGGGTTTTCTAAAACTTGTTTCCAGCATCCATTGAAATTGTCATATAGTCTTTCCCATTTAGCCTATGGACAGTGGTATAATACATTAATTGATGTTACATTAAACTGTCATTATCTTCTCATAAAAATCAAGTTGCTCAGAATGGACTCATTTTTAAAATATATTTTATTGATTTTTTACAGAGAGGAAGGGAGAGGGATAGGAAGTCAGAAACATCAATTAGCCACCTCCTGCATACCCCCTACTGGGGATGTGCCTGCAACCAAGGTACATGCCCTTGACCGGAATTGAACCTGGGACCCTTGAGTCCACAGGCTGACGCTCTATCCACTGAGCCAAACCGGTCTTGGCTCAGAATGGATTCTTATTTTACTCTTCTACCAAGTTAGATTTGTTAGAGTTTTATTTGGGAATGTTTTCATCTCTGTTCATAGAGTGTTTTTATGCCGTATTGTCAGATCTTTTTTCTGATCATGTGAGCTTCCTTAGATAAACTCCATAGCTTTCTGCTTTTGTGTTTTGAGTTAGGACTCAGTTTGAGGCACTGTCTTTCCTTGAAAGTTTAAAAGAACTACTCACAAAACCATGTGACGTTAGAACCCTTTTCAGGGATCATTCTTGCTGAGATCTTCAGGCTGTTAGTTTCAAAACTGCTTGTTTCTGTTTGCCTCTTTGTTTAGATTTTTGACGAAGAGTCCCGCTACCACTGTGCCCTGATGCTCAACCACCGAAAGTCACCCTTAACTGGGACATGGAATTTCACGTCCTGCAGTGAACGCCACACCCTGTCTCTCTGTCAAAAATACTCAGGTATGGGTTATTATCTAAGTAACTGTGGGACTTTATGATGTTAGCTATGTACAGTATTTTTTAACAAAAATCTTATAAATGAATTAAAGTTAATTTGTGATCACATAGTTTTCTTAAAATGATAGCATGACTAAATCCATATTGGTTCAGTGAGTCAGAGTATCTCAAATGGAATGTGATTTTTTTCAAGTATTATCATTATACTTAATTAAATATCAAAATTAACTATCAGGTGGAATTTATTATTAGGAATTGTCTAACAATGTTATGGTTGAATTTTATTCTCCTTTCTACTCTGGCATTTTTTTAGATTTTACTTTCTATCCTGGGAAAAGAGGGAGAAAAAACTTAATGTTTTAATTTAGTTCAGTATAAACATTCACAGTTAAATTTAGCACTAAAAAAAGATGTGAAGCATTTATAAATGGATCACTATGACTTCTTATAATCCAAATAAAACTAAACTGTATTTATAAAAATAGGAATTATCCATATTTTCAAAAAGGTATTTTAAGAAGCATTTAATTATTTTCATTAATCACAATGTCTTTTTAACATGATTAAAAAAAAAACTTTGTTATGTAGTGATACTCTCAAGTAAATAATCTATGTTCTTCTGAAGAACTGTTTGCTAAATTAATCCCTCTTGTTAAAGCAGTTCAAACAAAGCAAGTATTTGACACCAACCTGAAGTGGAAATCTTTTCACAGGCTACTTTTGTTTATAGCTTTTCTCCTTCCTAAATCGAGTCAGCTAAAACAGAATTTTCTTCTAATTTTAGAACACAAATGTTGGGGGTTCATACATTTTAACTAAGGTATGCAGGAAGACATACTTAGCTCTCCCACCCAAAATCTAACATAAACTAATAGATAAGTAGTATCTAACGTACATTAAATGTCCTATGACTCACAGAGTGGGTAGTTTTTGTATCTTTTTTCTTTTACACACAGACCCTGAAGGCAGCCAGACCTTGCAGAATACTTCAGAGACTGTGAAGTACCTAAGTAATCTGTACAAAATAATCCTGAAGCCTCTGACGTGGCCCGAGGCTCTGTGGGAATGCCAGAAACATGGCATGCGCCTGGTGAGCATCTCGGACCCGTACCAGCAGGCGTTCCTAACTGTGCAGGCGGTCCTGCGTAATGCCTCCCTGTGGATTGGACTCTCCAGCGAAGACGTAAGTTTTCAGTCCCCACTGCCAGGATCGGGTGATGGACTGCAGCATTTTTTATTATGCACTGTCTCTTATCAGACAAAACACACACACACACAAACCACCCAGAGATCATAAAACCTTACTCCAGTGAATTTCATGAAGTAGAGAGTTTTTAGTGGCAGTCATCTTTCCACTGTTGGAAGATCTGGTGCTTTATTGTTTGGATTAAGAAAAGGTTCTAGTGGACCAATGTAGCTGATCATTTCTGTAATTTATTCCAACGAACAACTGAGCTGGAATCAGGAGCTGCCATGTCTCCTTTCCCATTGAAGAGAAGAGAGGAGGGGAAGGATTAAAAGCCAGATGGGGCTGGGTGTGGAGAAGCCCTACGGATGGCGCTGAAGAGTCCTTCCTATCCCTTTTGGAATCAGCAGAATGAAATGAAGACTCTAAGAAGGGATAGTGTTTTGCCACATCTTAAGCTGTGATTCGGGGTTGATGTCTTGGGTAGTTCTCATTCATTTCATAGCCCAGCAAGGAATGCTAGTCTTCTATCCATTCCCAACACTAACCTGCATACAAGTAGCACAAATGAGAGTATTTATTGCTACTGGAGCTTTGGGTTATAATTAATAGAGATTTTTTTTTAAGCTGTAGTATTCCTCTCAGCATTATAGGCCATTTTGTCTCTTTTCTAGGCAGCCTATGCAATACTTTGATACTCTGCCCACTGAGATGTATTATAATGATAAGATATAGGGCGGGAGTATAAGGCTGTATACATTATGCAGTGCATAGGAGGTGCCATTTACAAAAATTGTAATGTGAACGTTGGCCCCTGCATCTGCACAGTGCATGACTGGTGAAGCCCTAGCTAGATAAAAATCACCTAGACCAGTATTCCTCAACTACTCTCAGAGAGAGGGTAATGGGCAGATTCGGAGAGTAAGTCCATTGTCTTATGAAGCAAACCTAAGTTATATATACACCTTAGGATGACCCTCAGTATATCAAGATGGCTTTAGGGCTGCTTGGAGAAAATGTGATCAAAGACAATTCAGTCCTAGCACAAACCCAGAGCTGAAGTGGAGAGTAGACTCAGAAGTAACCATTATCTTTGACAAATTGGATTCATTGCCACCAGCAGTTACCAGACACTCATTTAAAAGAAGCAGTATTGCCGGAACCAGTTTGGCTCAGTGGATAGAGCGTCGGCCTGCGGACTGAAGAGTCCCAGGTTCGATTTCGGTCAAGGGCATGTACCTTGGTTGCGGGCACATCCCCGGTAGTGGGCCTGCAAGAGGCAGCTGGTCGATGTTTCTCTCTCATCGACGTTTCTAGCTCTCTATTTCTCTCCCTTCCTCTCTGTGTAAAATCAATAAAATATATTTATAAATAAATAAATAAATAAATAAATAAATAAATAAATAAAAATAAAAGAAGCAGTATTTAGAAATTGCTTGAAGAAGAGTTTCTCCAAGACTCTAGATATTTTATTTTATTTTATTTTATCTTATTTTATTTCTCCTCACCTAAGGATATTTTTCCTACTGATTTTTAGAGAGAGTGCATAGGAGGGAGGGAGGGAGAGAGAGAGAGAAAGAGAGGGGGGGAACATCTATGTGTTTGGTTGCCTCCCATACACATCTTGATCAGGAAATGAATTTGTGATCCTTTGGTGTGCAGACCAACACTCTAACCACTGAGAACTGACCAGGGCAAGACTGGATATTATATATGTGTGTGTGTGTGTGTGTGTGTGTGTGTGTGTGTGTGTGTTGATTTTAAAGTGAGAGAGAGAGAGAGAGAAACACTGATAAGAAACATTAATGGCTGTCTCCTGCACGCCCCCTACTGGTTATGGAGCCCGAAACCTAGTCATGTGCCTTGATTGGCAATTGAACTGGTGACCTCTTGGTGCATGGGATGACACTCAATTCACTGAGCCACACCTACTGGAATGGGTATTTTAAAATGTAGCCCCAAGTTAAGCCAGATCATAGCTTGATCTGCTTTCCCAGACCTCACAGCATCATTTTCTTCATAGCATTGCCTTACTTTCTCTTTGGTATTTGTAACCATGTGAAACCCATCCCTGTGTCTCTTGTGAGGCTGGTAATAAGTTATTATATTTTCTGGTTTCAATCACCTTAAACTTCTGAAACAAAAGCAATATTGTCACTATGGAAATTTGATAGTTATAGTAAATTAAAAGAAAATATTTAAATTAGCTGTAATCCCAGTGCCTAGTGATAACTATGGTTTAATCATTGGGTGAATATCCTTCAAGTTATTTCTCTATGTAGATGTATTTAATTTTAAGATAATTTGGATCATATTGTTTTGTAGCTTTTTCTCCCCTATAATGATTTTGGGTCTTGTTTCTTATACTATTTTTCAATCTTTACCTATGTTTCTCTGTGCCCCTATTACTATTCATTTTAACTAATTCCATGTAGCTGTTTAATATGTATCTTCTTAAGCTGCCTTAAATCTTTGGGAAAGGGCAGGGTATAAATAAATAAAACTTTACATTGAAAGCAATGTGAAGGTATTGAAAGATTTTAAAAGTACAATAGTAACAACAATATCAGATTTTTAGTTAAGAAAAATTATTCTGGGAGAAGGTGAGGGAGGAAGTGAGTAATCTAGAGATAATAAGAGACTAGTTAGAATTTCTTGTATAAATTTGTGCAGAAAATGCTGTTGGTCTGAACTAAGGCATATTTGCAGCATCTGCAATGCAGCACTTCTGGGAAATGTAAAGTCCAGAGTGTGACTGTGGCAGTAGATCACTCAAGTATGTGGCAGTAAACGTACGTAGAAGTAGGGAACTGGGAAAACTTTGGGACTGGGAGAATCACCCACGTGAACATAGATTTCCCTAAGTCAATGGGAGGGCCAGGGGTTGGAACAAGGCCTGGGAACCCCCTTAGTGAATGTCAGAAAAAAGCAAATAGGCCAGATCCATAGCGAATGTCAGAGAGAGACAAGGAATCTGGGAGTTGGCAGTGGTAAGAGGGCCATAACCCTCAAAGGAAATGACTGAAGGAGATAAAAATACCTACTCTCCCATTCTCATGGCCCTATGTGATTTGAAAACAGAAAAACAAACAGCCTTCCCTTGTGGGTGCTGTAAGGAAATTAACTTCTTTAAAGAAAAAAAAAACAGGTCAAGAATTTAGTAAACAGAGGCCCGCTGGTATGGCTCAGTGGTTGAGCATCGACTATGAACCAGGAGGTCACGGTTCTCGGTCAGTGCACCTGTGTGCAGGAGGCAGCCAAAGCATGATTCTCTTTCATCATGTTTCTCTCTCTCTCTCTCCCTCTTCCTTCCTCTCTGAAATCAATAATAAAAGTGTATTTTTTAAACAGAATTCAGTAACAGCTAAGTAGAGTCTTAGTAAAGAGATTTAGTACTCATTAAAGAGATGGAATTCAGAGTCCCGGGACCTGTGTTCGTTGAGAGTGCAGCAAGGGGGTGGAATCCAGGGTCATACGAGTACAGTCACATGGCCAGAGGGCTACATCTGAAGCCACGTGGCTTGGGGATAACTGAGCACAGTGACAACTGGAACTCTGGTGGAGGACAGCTCAGAGTGAAACATTGGTGGTGTTGAGGCTTCACCATGTTGCTATTATGGGTTCGCTAAGGAGACTGTGTGTGGCCTTTGCCCAGTATTCCAAATAAGCCAGGGATACAAAACTAACCTTGGGCCTCAGGAAAGCTTTGCTCCATGAGTCACTGTGTGGGGCCTCAGATCTGGCAGCAACATGGGAAGCTCAGACAGAACTGTACCCCACAATCCATCTCCTAGATTTCTGTACCTACTCTGTAAAGCCTTCCTCAAGATAGCCGAGTGGCCAGGCCCGGTCAGGATGTAACAGCAGGTGTTTGCAGACTTTTGACTGCACAGTAGAATATAGTGACAAGGAAGCACGTCCCCAAAGACAAGTGTGGAAGCAGTGCCATGTCATCTACTGGTCTGAGGGGTTAGGAGGAAGGGAGCTAACATGTATGTAGCTTTCTGTGTGTACCAGCTAGCCACTGAGTCAGGTGTTTTACACGTATTGTGCCATTAATTCTACCCAGGAGGTTCAGGGTCACATTCATTTAATAGCTGCAGGGATGGAAACTTAGCAAGGTAACCTCACAATCAAGAACTAATAAGTGATCAAACCAGAATTCAAAACCAGGTGTGCTTCGCTCTGAAGCCCATGTTCTTCCCACAACTACATGTTGTCTCTAACTTTATCAGTGCCTAACCGGGGTCTTCACTCCACTTTAGCTTTCTGATTGCCAACAACCAACAATGCCAATGATGGGTGAGGTAGCATAGTGTAATCATTCAGACCATGGACGCCAGGACTGCCGACCTGGACTAGAATGCCCTGCAGTTTATGTTCCATGTGACTTTGCACACTCTACATGCCTTCAGTAAAATAGGCATAATAGTGTCTATCTCATATGGTTGTGAGGATTAAATAAGTTGACATTTGCAAAGCGCTTAGAACAGTCCTGGGCACATAGTAAGTGCTATGTGTGTTAAATACAAGATAACATTAAAAGTCATTAGATGACCAAAACCGGTTTGGCTCAGTGGATAAAGCGTTGGCCTGCAGACCGAAAGGTCCTGGGTTCGATTCCGGTCAAGGACATGTACCTTGGTTGCGGGCACATCCCCACTAGGGGGTTTGCAAGAGGCAGCTGATCAATGTTTCTCTCACATCAGTGTTTCTAACTCTCTATTCCTCTCTCTTCCTCTCTGTAAAAAATCAATAAAATATATATATGTTTTAAAAGTCATTAGATGGACCATGAGGGCCAAAGCAATACAAAAGGGATTACATGACGTATTGCCACTTGAAATGTGTTTTCGTTCTTTGCAGGATGAACTCAACTATGTTTGGTCAGATGGGAAACATCTTCAGTTTAGTCGCTGGGCTGACAACAATGAGCAGCTGGAGGACTGTGTGTTTTTAGACACCGATGGGTTCTGGAAAACGTCGGAATGCGATGACCACCAGCCGGGTGCTATTTGCTACTATCCAGGAAGTATGCTACATTCAGATATTTTCTTTCTCAAATTACTATTAGTCTCATGAAGGATGTGATTTTGTAAAATCTGGTTTTGAAATTAAGAAAATTACAATCATCTTATTTTTTTTAAATATATTTAATTGATTTCAGAGAGGAAGGGATGGGGAGAGAAAGTTAGAAACATCAGTGATGAGAGAGAATCATTGATTGGCTGTCTCTTGCATGCCCCACCCTGGGGATCGGGCCCACAACCCCAGGCATGTGCCCTGACTGGGAATTGAACCGTGACCTCCTGCTTCATAGGTTGACGCTCAACCACTGAGCCACACCGACTGGACACAATCATGATCTTTTAACAACAAAATTTGTGAAAATATGTATTCAAAAATACTATATATTAAATATTCTGTCATTAATTTTTTTAGACATGTTTTATCTTTATCAGCTGACAATGGTAATTGTCCTTTTAATTTTAAATCCCCAGTGGCCTCATTTGCATATGTTTGCTGTTTATAGTCTTATAGAAAATTGTATATTTGTGAGAATCCTTTCACAATTCGTATCATCAGCTACAATTTCTTCTGACTCACTGTTAACATTCATTTGGTTATAAGTAACAGCCACCAGCTCAAGCTAGTTTTAAACCAAAAATAAGAATTTTAGATCCTCAAAAAATGGGGATAGAGCTAAAGCTTGTGAGGAATGGAAATCAGAGGCTGATGCCATCCTCTACCTGTGCTTTCTGCTTCTCTCTGTGGACCTGCTCTCTGCTTCTCTACCTGCTCTCTGCTTCTCTGTGCGCTTGATGACCCATGGCGGCTCTGCAGCTTTCACCTGCACCCGTCACTGGAGGTGACTGTCCCTGAATACCACTTTTCCGTTTCTCAGAGGGAATCTGAAGGACTTGGCTGAGTTGGGTATGCAATCTAGGTCACTCAGAGGAACGTGCGGGTTTGGGGTACGAAAAAGACACTCCTCAAACAAAGGGACTGGTTATAAGCTGGGAGAGACTGGCAGGCCTCTCTACTGCACACCTAAGTAGTTCCAAGGACTTTGAGTAGAGCATGTCTATACTTGCATCTTCTTGAATGTATGGCCTTTTCACTAAATAGGGCGGGGCGGGGGTGGGGTGGAAGGAGGGGCCGTAATTAGATTATCTAGATGTCAGGTTTTAAACTATTGCTGTTTGCTTTTGTTAAAGGAATAACTTAATACATCACATATTTCATTAAATGTTCCTTTAGAATTAGAAAAGATATAAGTAACCAGACACTTGTTGATGAACTCAAAGTTTTAGTTACGTGCCTTTTATTATGTTTGTATAGTTCCTATGAGACGGCCTTTTGCATTTGAAGTCTGGAGATGGAGGAAGACAGAAAGTACAATTAACCCAATAGCACCTCATTTTTTACATTCTTCCACTCACTCCACAGCCGGGGAAAGGAAATTATTGTACTGTTAAATAATTTCTTTCCTAAAGAAAGCCTTTCCTAAAGGAGGTCACATTATATTGAATGTAAATTGAACAAGCATCAGCAGGCTAGTATTTCTTAGCTTCCTGAATATTTCCTACTAATCAAGTCCAATTATTATATAGAGAATTTAGCATTTATATCTGAAATTAGTATTCATACCATTAATTTTTTTTCTAGATGAGACTAAGAAAGAGGCCACGCCAGTTAACAGTGTTCGTTGTCCATCTCCTGTTTTAAATACCCCGTGGATACCATTTCAGAACTATTGCTACAATTTCTTGGTAGCAAAGAATAGATACAAGGCAGTAACAAAAGATGATGTTCATTCTAGATGCCAAAATCTGAGTAAGTACATTATATGGGCATTATATATTGCATTACGCTCATTTTTTAAAAATCTTGTCTGTGTTAGAAATATTTCTAATTGGCACTAGTAATTTTCTAATTTCTACATTAATTTGCTTTTAATTAAAATGGAAGGTATAGCAGTTACCTCTTTCTTTATCCTTTCATTAGAGAATTTGTCTAGCTCTACAGGTGTAAACAAAATGGGTTCTACTTCACAAAGGAAAGAAATATCACTATATAGGGGGGACTCTAGGCAAAATTAAAAGTTCATTTGAGAGGTCAGAAGCTTAAATAAGCCACAAAGAAGCCGCTCTGCTTTAAAACACACACACACACACACACACACACACACACACACACACACACATTTCATACTTCAAAGATTTTTCAGATATTTCCTATGTGATCACTGAGGATTTGGAACTTCTGAACAATGGACCTCTGAATTTTGCGGAAAGTGCCTGTGGGAAATACAAACCATTACCCTCCTCCCTTCCCCCCAAAGTCTGCTCTGTTGAACACTGGTCTTGAAAGGTGTTCTACACAAGAGGATCTTTAGAAAAAAGAACAAGGTTAAGAAACACCATCGCTTCCTGTTACAGATGATCAAGTGTGCATTTGTTTATATTGTAAGAAATACTGGCTAAATGAACTAGTTGATTTGTTTACCAAGTGTTTGCAAAGTTTTTATCCATGGAGCTCTTTTCTGAGGAACTCCTCTTAATTCCCCGAGGAACACAGTATGGGAAATAAAAACTTTTTTTAACTCTAATATAAGAGTGATCACTAAGACTTACAGAAAGTTGAAACTCTGTCTTAGAACCCATCCAAGAGGTTTTATTTATTATAGTCTTTGACAGTGTATCATAAATACAGGTGGAATTATACCAACTCAAAATAAGCTTTAAATGAGGAAAGGTGAAGTGAATTAGTTTTAAATACTCAGCTCATCTACTAGATTGTCACTAGTCTGTAAGACCTTATTTATCATCAAAATGTTTTAAAACTTCTTAACCTATTCATTTTAGTACAATGAGACAGTTTTAATTAACATGTCTTTCTTATTTTCTGCTATTTAAGTTTAGGGGTATATTAAACTCAGAAATAACATTTTCTAATTCAAATAAAGTATTCTAGATAAACTATTGCTTAAATTATTGACTTTTTTTTTTTTGCTTAACAGATTCAAAATCACATATTCTGAGTATTCGAGATGAAAAAGAGAATAACTTTGTTCTTCAGCAACTGCTACACTTTAATTATATGGCGTCATGGGTCATGTTAGGTCTAATTTATGAAAGTAAGTTGTAAATCTGCTGATTTTATTTATATTTATACTTTTTATAAACTACTTGTTTATCAAGCTATAAAAGAATACCAGTAGTTCTTCAAAGTATATGTTTATTAATATACAAAATTATCATTAATGCACTAAGCACAACATATGAATATGAAACATTTTTTATGTCTCTGCTCTGCTATTAAAATGTCTTTACCATCAAGCCTAGAGTTAAATGGTGAAAAATAAATCTTTCTCTACTTTCCCTCCAAGCAGTTCCAGACTAAAAATCACATTCTCATATATATCTCCAGTACTGACTTTGTATCTATACAGTGTATGTGAGATGAGTGAGAACAGAATTACACTTCTATTAATGTTGAGCCTGTGGTTTTTAGAGTATTGGCTTGGGGTATACACTAGGAAAATCAGATACATAGATTGATAACGGGATAGAATATTTGACATTGTGTCTAAATACAACAAATCCAAGTTAATTGCTATAAAATTTTGTAAAGCACAGATTTTAATAATAGGCCAATTTAGAAAGATACTCAACTATAGATGTTCTGAAAATCATAAAAGTTTTGGAATTAGAAAAAAAGAAAATCACTCTTTGGGTATAAAGCATCAAAAAGTATGCATTTATTCAAAAACAGGCCATAATAAGGGGGACAGAACAATGATAATCAGAGGTGGGTGGGAAAAGAAACTAAATTACTCAATTCTGACATTTAAAAATAGCCTTCTCTTTGGTATTTAACTTGTCTTTCTTAGAATGAGTTGCAAAGGCATTTCTTAAATGTTTATGGCTTGCAAATTAGTTAACAACAATTAAGCTATCAAGCAAATGGTAAGATTTGGGTTGCCAGTTGAAGATGAGTTTATCATAATAGGACATATTTGCCCAAGTCTTTTTCCCAATGACACTTGAATACCCTTTAATATAGAAATGGGGAGTTGGGAGGCAGAGGAAACTAGATGGAAAGTTCTCAGGCTTTATCTGAAAGTATTGAGGAAATAGTGAACTTTGAAGCAGTGGAGACCACCCAGGATATAGTTCGAGATTTCAATTGCACCCTCTGATGTATTTTGTTAGTTGTATTTTCACAAACAACTGAATATGCATTTTATGTTCTGAAAAACATTTTTGAATCTCTAGACTTTCTTTTAATCATCCTAAAATTTTTAATAAAATGTCTGAGTAATAAAATTTCTATTAAGATATGTAGCCATATGAGCAACATATAGAGAGATGTTTCAAGCAAATTTGGTTTAAATCTAATTCTTACTGGCTTAATTTATACCCATAAATTTTTTTGTCACCTTGATATACTTAAATTACATTGAACTGTATACCACCCATACAAAGGATTTTGTTTTGCTTTTTAAAATTCTGAACTTTTCAAAATTAAGGCCATGAATAGACATTGCTAAGAGAAGCCACATGTCAATTGAAAGATACTTCAAATGAAAAAGTGACCTTTTTGTATAGCAACTTTAGAAATACACCTTTGCCCATTGTGTTAGTCAGGAAATTGTAACTTGAACATTTGGGGAGAGGGAAAGAGCGACTAGGATGCATGACGTGATACGAAGCAGCAATAAAGAACGAAGCGATATGTACAGAACTGCTAGTGTTACCTTGCTGCAGACAGGAGTTTAGGATAATGCCTTGGGAGGTGGCGATCACTGAAAGGTACAAACAGCCAGACAACCAGGATTATGTGTAGGAAGTAATGACATTACTCCTTATACCAATTCATAATTTCAGTAGGCCTAGCAGTTTGTTTTTCCAAAAACTTTATTGAGATATAGTCACATCCATATGATTTAGCCATTTAAGGTATATAATTTAACTAGAGGCCTGTTGCACAAAGATCCGTGCAATAGGCCTTCCTTCCCCCTGGCTGCCAGCACCAGTTTTCCTCCGACACCTAGGACTCAGGCCTTCACTCCGGCCACAGTCGAGAAGCCAAGCCTCTTCAGTCTTCAGTTGTCTTTCAGTCTTCAGTCTTTGCTCAGTGTCTGCATATTCAAATTAACCCACCATCTTTGTTGGGTTAATTTGCATATTCCTGGTTGGCTGGCAGGTGTCACAGAGGTATGGTCAATTTGCATCTTTCTCTTTTATTAGTGTAGATGGCCTTTTGTATAATCAGAGAGCACTGCAATTATCACTAACCTAACAAGAAACACCATACCTATTAGTAGTTCCTCCTCATTCTCTAGCCTCTCTCCCAACCCTCAGCAACCACTGATCTATTTTCTGTCACTACAGATTGCCTACTCTAGACATTTCTTATAAATCAGATCATACAATATGTGATTTTTTTATGTGACTATTATTCTACTTAGCTTAATGGTTTTAATGTTTATGTATGTAGCACTGTATCATGTATCATATATTGTGCCTTTTATGACTGAATAATATTCCGTTGTATGGATATACCACATTTTATTCATCTGTTTATTAGTTTGTGGGCATTTAAATTGTTTTTACCTTTTTTGTTATTGTGAATAATGCTACCATAAACAAGTTTTTGTGCATGTATGTTTTCATTGCTCTTGGACATATACTTGGTCTGGAATTGTTGAATTTATTTAATCCTTTGAAGAACTGACAGTTTTCCAAAGCTGCTGTACCATTTTCCATCAAAGGTTCCAATTTCTCCCATATCTATGCCAACACTTATGGGTGGTTTTTGTTTGTTGTCTTTTTTATTATAGCCATCCAAGTGACTCTGAGTAATTTATCACTGAGGTTAAAATTTTATTTATCTGATGATTGAAACTATTCAGCATTGTTTCATGTATTCATTGGCAATTTGTACATCATCTTTGGAGAAATCTCTATTCCGACCCTTTGCCCATTTTTTATATTATTTGTTCATTTTATTATTGAGTTCTAATTATTCTTTTTATATTCTGGATAGAAGTTTCTTGTCAAATAAATTACTTGCAAGTATTTTCTTCCATCACTTTTTTGATAGTATAATTTGTAGCACAAAACTTTTAATTCTAATGAAGACCAATTTATGTATATTTTTCTTTTATCATTTGTGCATACCTAAGAGAGCTTTGCATACCCTAGGGTCATAAAGATGTTCTCCTGTGTTGTCTTCTAAGAGTTTTATAGTTTTGGCTCTTAGATATATGATCTATTTTGAGTTAATTATGTATATGGTGAAAGGAAAGGGTCCAACCTCATTTTTTATTTTTATACATAGAAACAATTCATTCACCATTGAATTGTCTTGGCACTCTTGTTAAAAACCAGTTGACATAACATACACAATTATGATTTCAGTCCAGAGAAGGGACTTGTCATTAGTCTTATAATAAATTATTTTTTTATAAAATAGTTACACTCATTTTCATTGCCGTCAAACATATATGTAGGAAAAATGAATATTTGATGAAAGATAACAACATGTAAAGTTATTGCAGGATGGTGGAATTAAAAGTAAATTTTTGTTTTCATGTTTATAACTTGTACTTTCAACAAGTTATTGTTGAAAATAAGTATGGCTCACTGTTATAATTATTTTAGAGAGATGCACATAATCATATAACCTTTTAGGAAGTAGAGAAAGAAGAAAGAAAAGTTATGATTGAAATATTAACCTCATAACTGTAACTCAAATATTGATTTCATCTCTAAATATAGAAAAAAATGTTTCTTCTCCAGATAATTCTCTTATGTGGTCTGATGGGACCATGCTGTCCTATACACACTGGAGATCAGGAAGACCAGCTATAAAAAATGGCCATTTTTTTGCTGGCTTGAGTACTGATGGCTTTTGGGATGTTCGTACCTCAGATGCTGTTGAAGAAATACACTACTTTCATCAGCACAGCATTCTTGCTTGCAAAATTGAAATGGGTGAGTGTGCTAATGTAGAGTTTCCACTCCAGGAAAAGAAAATATAAAGCCATTGGCTCGCCTGGTGGGAAGCTTGTAATTGTATTTTCTGAGTGCTTTTTCTGAATTCCATCCTATGAGAGGTGCTACAGAGGTAGCCTTGACAGTTTTGCGGAGCACTGGTCATATGTTTTGTACAATGTCCCTCATTCTTTTCTCATGATTAAGCTGAAGTTATGGTTTTGGAGTTTAGGGGAAAACCACAGAAGTAGTGTCATTCTCATAACATGTGAAGGGTATGCTATCAATACGACTATCACTGCTGATTTTAATCTTGGTCACCTGGCTCTAGGTAATGTTTACAGATTTTTCCACTGCAAAGTTACTCTTTTTCTCCTTTCCCACAGCATACTCTTCGTTAGGAAGGCACTGTCCTCAGTCCACATTTACTTAGTGGAGAGTTACTCTTCACTAAGTAAATTCTTCCTGAAGGGGGTGGTATCTACATACTTTATTTGGAATTTGACCACACAGGAGGTTTTTTTCTATTCTTCAACATTTTAAAATCTACTGTCATTTAATAAGTCAGTCAAAGAAAGAAAAATACTATATGTTCCACTTATATGTGGAATCCAAAGAATAATATAAATGAATAAGAAAATTAGAAACAGACCCACAGACTCAGAGAACAGACTGATGGTTGCCAGAGGGTAGGGAGGTGGAGGACTGAGTGAAAAAAAGATGAAAAGGATTGAGAAGTATAGATAGGTAGTTACAAAATAATCGTGGGGATGTAAAGTACAATGTAGGGAATGTAATCAATAATATTCTAATAACTATATTGTTCCAGGTGGATATCGGAAATACCAGAGGGAATACTTCGTAAAGCATACGATTGTCTGATCACTATGCTGTACACCTGAAACTAATACAAAATAATACCGAACATAAACTGTAATTGAAAAAAATCATTCAATCATTTATTGATATCATTATGGGCTTATAGCTACATAAGTCACACTGGGAGTATAATCTGTGATTCACAATACTATTGAATCTTTTGACTAGATTGTCCCAGCTTTGGACATTGGGCACTCTTTCACTTGGTTTCTGGGTCCCTTTGAAATACCCTCATCAATGTGGTTGTGTTATTGTTATTTGTTTGTTTTCGGCTTACTTTCTGGTTACCTCATTTCTTTTTAGTCCTAATTTCAAGCCTGATGTCTGGAGACCTAATGCTTCCAGCAGGCTTTATGACTCTCTTAATTCAGAGGAATGTCTCCTTCTCTAGTAGTTATGCACATTCTATCAGGTAATTGTTTTATCCCGATTGTAGGTGTTGTTGTTTTCTGTCCACAATAATATGCGAGCTCCTTCAATGAAAGATGATGTGTATGCCATTTTCTTAATCAGCCAGACTACTGTCATAGTTAAGAGCCTGTTAAATGTACGTACTGTGGGAAAAAGAAAAATGAAGTATGCATTTGACCTTCCTTCCTAATAAGCAACCCAGTTTTATTTAACTTTTGACGTGATTGTATGACCTGTCTTACCCCACATATGTATTTTACTTTTAATATTTATTAAATTGGCCGAAGCCGGTTTGGCTCAGTGGTAGAGCGTCAGCCTGCGGACTGAAAGGTCCCAGGTTCGATTCCGGTCAAGGGCATGTACATTGGTTGCGGGCACATCCCCGGTGGGGAGTGTGCAGGAGGCAGCTGGTTGATGTTTCTCTCTCATCGACATTTCTAGCTCTCTATCCCTCTCTCCTCCTCTCTGTAAAAAATCAATAAAATATATTTTAAAAAATATATTTATTAAATTGATTGAGTGACATTGGTCACCAGTTAAATTTAATCATGAACACTTTTCATTCAATATTTTAGTTGACTACAAGGAACCATATAATACTACTCTGCCACAGTCTATTCCATACGGAGATGGCATTTACAGCGTCATTCAAAAAACAGTGACATGGTATGAAGCAGTAAACATGTGCTCTCAGAGTGGAGGTCATTTGGCAAGTGTTCACGACGCAAAGGGCCAGCTCTTCCTGGAAGATATCGCAAAGCGGGATGGATTTCCACTGTGGGTTGGGCTCTCAAGTCATGATGTGAGTATTGCTGTGTTGTCCAGAAATTTCCCACATTTGTTAGAGGTTTGGCAATGTGAACATAAAATACCAATGCAAAGTATAGCACCAGATTAAGTCCTGGGACTTAATTAGCATAGCCTAGTGCTTTCTCGACTTTCCACAATATAAACAAATGGAAAATTATATCTCTAGTGTGCACTGCAGCATGTGGCCGGGACTGCCATAGCCTCAACACTGCCCGGGCCCAGAGATGAGTAACACAACAACACCTCTCTGATCTGTTTGGGGGAGACCAATTGAAAAGCTGGTGAAAAGGAGGGAGCACGGAATCAGAGGTCTGCTCTGGTGGCAGATCTTCCATTGCGTATTGGGTGATCGTAGGCAAGATATTTGACACTTGAAGCTTATTTCCTCATCTGTAAGATTTTGGAGTGATAATTATTTTCCTTAATCTAGGATTATAATGATGATTGCAAGTTAAATTCTTAACATTAGGACTAGTAAACATATATACTTTTGCCATTTTCTCCCTAGAAATCAGCACTCTTTGAGAGTAATCTTCTACTAGTAAACACGTCTTTTGTGCCACTGTTTGAGTTCTATTAATTATCATATCATGTAGCTATAATAATGTCTAGTATACAAAAAAAAAATAGCCATCTATTGAAATTAGAATTGAAGGCCTAGTGTAAATAATCTTTAGGACAATGGGGAGAATAAAATAAAGGATGGTGAATTAGGATTATAGAATCAAGGAAAAATCAAAAAGTAATCTTGGGAACTAGTTTTCTCTCCCAGCCCCCTGCTGATTACTGGCTTCTGTAATATGAAAAACAATATTTAAGATAATATCAATGCTAGAATTGTAAATCTGTAATTGTGATAAGTGGAAACCATTTACACATTGTTTTATTTCAAGTGTTATATAAACTCATCCTTAAACAGAATAAATCTAGAGATAGCATATAAAAACTGACTCTAAATTTAAAATCCTATGTAAATTGTGCCAGAGCAAATATCTCAAATCAGTGCAGCAAAAATAAATCCCAAATAGATCCAGACCTACACACTTGCAAGCAAATAATTAATGCTCCACTTCAACATTTCTTAAAGTATCTATGTTCTTAATTATGTTCTTTTTTAACTCATCCATCTAGATTCAGGTTGTCTCTATCATTCTTAAAACAGGGCACAGAATCAAATTTTGAGTGGTCTGATGGCAGTGCATTTGACTACATCCTATGGAAAGATAAACAGTCTCCTGGGAATTGTGTTTTCTTGGATCCAAAAGGATTTTGGAAACATGAAGAATGCAGCTCTCATAGAGATGGTGCTATTTGCTATAAATCTACAAAATGTAAGACTTGATTTCAAATAACTGTATTTACTAAAATATACTGCTTGTTTTATACACTTGATTAAGTACTCAAAGGAATTTTTAGAAATTTTAAATGAGGTTTATTTACAATTTCTCCAAAAAATAATTTTAACACTTTGCAAGGAGAAATAAATACAATACCTGGTCAGGGAGTTTGTTCTCATAGATATTCAGTAGTTCCATCACTAGGGAAGTTTTAACTCTAGAATTTGTGAGTTTCAATTTCACTTAGCAGTGTTTTCAAAGACTGGTATTCTTCTTTTAAAGGAGTGTCCCGCCAAAACCGGTTTGGCTCAGTGGTAGAGGACTGAAAGGTCCCAGGCTCGATTCCGGACAAGGGCATGTACATTAGTTGCGGGCACATCCCCGGTAGGGGTGTGCAAGAGGCAGCTGATCAATGTTTCTCTCTCATCGATGTTTCTAACTCTCTCTCCCTCTCCTTTCCTCTCTGTAAAAAATCAATAATATATATATATATATATTAATTTTTTAAATTTTTTTTAAGAGAGTCCCAAAGCATGTATCTTGGGAAATGCTTTAGGTGACCTACCATATTGATTGATGGCTGTGTGAGTCTCTGTGATCAAGAAGTCTGCTGCATGTTGTGTAACTAAGCATTTTCTAAACTTACATGATCCTTAAAGTTGAGGAAAGAGCCCCTTCCATCAGAGGCTGTACTTGAAATCATTCCTGATAGGTAGAGCATGAGCCTTGGGAAGAGCGCAAGAACCCAGACCACCAGGAGCTGCAGAGGCATGCTGGGTGGCCAGGGCCTGTTGCGGGGTTGGTCTCTGAAGCTTCTGGTTCTCATTGCTGGCCCTTGCAGAAAAAAATAAATGCAAGAGTTGGAAGTAAAACTCCATGAATAGCAGTAAAGAAAGAAACCATTTGCAGCCTAAGACAGCCCAGATGCAGACTGGATAGAAACGAGTGGACTTTGAAGATCTCCAAGGGTTCCTAGTTTTTAAAGCCAAGCAATTCAAGAAGGTCCTCCAGTCTTAGGAGCCAATGTTCAATATGTTTTGCATCTAATGAAGCTCACAGATCATTGTCTTGCACAACAATGGAGTGGTTGACAGTTTATTTTTGAAAAAGCAACTATTTTCACAAAGTGGTAAAAGGAAGCACATGCTAGTAATGTCTCTCTCCATCAGCAACGTTAACGTAGACCTGTCACAAGTCCTGCAGACTTTACCGATGGACTTGGCAATGAGCTTTTTTTAAAAAAAAAAATATATTTTATTGATATTTTTACAGAGAGGAAGGGAGAGAGATAGAGAGCTAGAAACGTCGATGAGAGAGAAACATCGACCAGCTGCCTCTTGCACACCCCCCAACCGGGGATGCGCCCGCAACCAAGGTACATGTCCCTGACCGGAATCAAACCCAGGACCTTTCATTCCGCAGCCCAACGCTCTATCACTGAGCCAAACCGGTTTCGGCGGCAATGAGCTTTGATCACCAGACACTAGGAAACTTATTCAGGAGTTATCAACTGTCAAACTGAAGGGAGACTTAGAGCTCAAACCAAGAGCGTTCTTGGAAAGAATGGAGATAAAAGTCAATCAAATAATTAAAGTTCAAAAAAGATCAAGCCCAGCTAGAGAAACAGAAGATAGAGAAACAGAGGAAGGAATTCAGAACAATCAGAACATCTCTTGATGAAAAAGGAAACAGCAGCAGCCATTCTTCTGGAACCACTGGGACCACAAATTAGAAGGACCTACCAAATTGAGAGATGGGGGGGGAAAGGCAGGAAGAGCCTTCGGTTGCTGAAGGACATACAGACCCTGCAGAATGCACACAGAGAATAGCTGGCGTTGAGATGACTGACCATACCAGGTCAGAGCTTTGATCCTGATGATCTGTACCTCACAAATAGCATGCTAACAATTTACCTTCCAGTTCTCATGCTCTCTTCTGTGGAAATTAATAATCAGAGGAACAGGCTTTCCTACACAGGCTTCCTGTGTTATACAGCACAATGAAAAGTTAAACATTTTAAATGGAAACCAGAGAGGGAGGGTTAAAAGCTGAGAAGCCTCACCTACTCTTTTTTTGTTTGAGACTGCTTTTTCTTTGCTGACATGTTACATTTTGCAAACACATCACCAAATTTTCATTTGTAGTTGTGATTTTTAAAAGTAGTTCTGAATAGTATTTGGCAAGGTAAAACAAGGTTTCTGTTATCAAAATAAAAAGGAATCCAAAGAATTGTGATTGCTATTTCAAAGTAGTTTACAGGCCTGTCTAGCCAATCTTTGCTTCCTTTCCTATTGTGTCTTTCCAGTTGTTTTTCACTTAGTCTAAATCCATCTTTGTCGTCTAAGTTCTAAAAATGGTATTCCAAAAATCTAATTAGAATACATACTCAAAAGTCAGATATTTTTTCTGTGCATCTTTACAATTGTTTCACATTTTTATAGCTCCAGAGGTATCCCCTCTTACACACTCATCGCGATGCCCAGCAGTAAAAGGGAATGGACCCCAGTGGATCCAGTACAAGGGCCACTGTTATGCAACTGACCAGGCGTTGCACAGTTTCTCAGAAGCCAAACAGTTTTGTTCAGAACTTGGTGAGTTAAAACTCATTTATTTTCTTTGATTCAATAATATAATCATTGGAATGTTTTTAAAGAAATAATTTGAAACAATGATTATTTTTTTAAAATATTTTTAAAGCAGACCCAACTGATAATAGCATTATCACCTAATTGCCCGGTGGTGGGGAAGTGGTTAAGTATTTTATGATGTACGACCTCAATGGAATATTGAAATAGCCATTAAAAATGATCGATCTAAGAATACATACATGGAAAATAGAAGTAAGTGGGAGGAAGTAGAATGAAAAAATAAGTAAATTGTTATGTGAAAATACAAGGAAACAGTTTTAAATATAGCTAGACTTGCTTAGATGAAGGGGTTAAGAGGTAAATTTTTTATAAAGTTGGTTAAGTAGCAAATGCAAAATTGTAGATTTTTTATCACTTAGTTATTAATAAATAAGCTTAGCCTGACCAGGGTAGCACAAAGCATGTGTTGACCATTCAATCTGCAATGGCAGTGGCTCACATCATCAGAACACCACAGGGACAGGACTTCTGCCTTCAGATGGAACTACTTCAGGATGAGCAGCAATGATCATCGCTCTCCATGATAAATTTAGCCAGTGGTCAAACTGTGAAATGACTTCTAGAATACCTGTATTCTTGAGTATCAGTGTAGCTAGCCAGATGGTATCTATCTCATTTTTTTTCTTTTTTCTTTTTTTCTAATTGTTGTAGATACACGTGGAAGATTTTTAAATCTCCATGTTACTGTTTAACTATATGATAGGAATTTTTGTGTGGGAACTGTTCTTTGTTAACATACGTAATACAGACATATACGCACACAGGCATATATAACAGATGATAGATGATAGATAGATGGATAGATAGATAGATAGATAGATAGATAGATAGATAGATAGATAATGTGATGGGAAATATTATGAGCTATATACTAATATATGCATATATGCTCTGGAGGTCAGAAGCCTCGGGCTCCGAAAGGAGAAAAATAGGAAGGTCTACTGTTATTGTAGTGGGCATGTGTTAAACACTTAAGCTTTGGAGGCAGACAGATTTGGGTTCAAATCCACCAAGCTCCCACACTTACTAGCTGAGTGGTATTGTGGAACTTACATAATTGTTTTTCTTTTCTCACCTGAAAAGAGTGAGAATAAAAATACAGTTGATCCTTAAGCAACAAATGGTTAGGGCCAGTGACCCCTCCCCCCCCTTTCAGTAGAAAATGTGTGTATAACTTTTGATTCTCCAAAATATACAGTCATTCCCCAGTATCCACTGGGGATTGGTTTTAGAACCACCTCCCACCCCCACAGATACCAAAATCTTAAGATGCTCAAGATCCCCATATAAAATGGCATAGATCAATGCATAAGTTGGCCCTCTACATCAGCAGATTACCAAATGCAGATGGAAAATACTGTTTTTTACCCAAGGTTGGTTGAATCTGAGGATGCAAAACCCAGAGTTACGGAGGGCCGCATGTATATTTATTGAAAAGAAAATCTTTTTTTTTGAACCCTCACAGTTCAAACCCATTGTTGAAGAGCCAAATGTAGTACTTACTTCAAAGTTTGGGTAAAGATTGGGTTGTTGTATTAATGAATGAAATGAGGTAATGTTTGTAAATGTAGGGCAGTGCCCTGCAAATAGTGAGCATTTAGAACTTATCATTAGAAAGACTGAGACTGACTTTCTAATTCGATAATTGGCTAGCTGTGTAGACCTTACCAATTTACTTGCTCTCCTTGAGCCTCAGCTTCCTCATCTATAAAATGGTGATAATGCCTTCCTCCATAGGATTAGGTAATAATAAGCATGGTAACATAAAGTACCTGCATGCTGTAGGATGTAGAACGGAATAAAGGCTTTTCTTTGCGCTTTAAATACAACCTACTACAAAAGTTCAAGTGTGGATAGGCTAGTTGCTGTTGAAGACTATCTGATTCCATTTAGGATTGATTTCCAACTCTAGTTATTATTTTATTTCTATCTCTTGCCTGATGCTATATTCTCTGAGTTTGGGGCAAACTATCAAACTTCAAGCATATTCACTCTTTCAATTCCATACTATATTTAGGAACTTACAATAAGCATGACCAAATGCACATATGTATAAAATAATGTTAAGTGGAAGGCTAATGCTCCCTAACACCCCAAACATATTTGCTTTATTTTTCATTTTAACAAAAGCAAACTTATGCAAAAATTGGTGTTGAAGAGAGAGTGCTGAACATCTATAGGGAAACATACCTTTCTACTGTCATGTACCCCACTTCTTATGATGAACTGTTTATACACAACAGTCTCACTGGTTAGGCAGTTCCAAGATTTTAAAAGGTCACCAGTAAGCATAGTAAATAAAACACAGACATGAAATTTCTTTAAAAAAGTTTCAATCTAGAAATATTTCTAACTTTTTAGGAAGCAATTAATGCCAATATCCGATTTTAAAAACATTCTCTGTAAAGTTTGAATTTCTCAGTGATCTTGCAGCAGCTGCCAGGCTGGGAGCGGCCAGGCCCGGAGCGGCCGGGTCAGGTGCGGCCAGGCCCGGAGCAGCAGCTGCCAGGCTGGGAGTGGCCAGGCCCGGAGCGGCCGGGCCCGAAGCAGCCGGCCCCAGAGCAGCTGGGTCGGGTGTAGCCAGGCCCGGAGCAGCAGCAGCCACGCCCAGAGCGGCCAGGTCGGGAGCGGCAGTGGCCAGACCTGGAGCAACTGCTTGTGGAACGGACCAGAGCAACAGAGGCCAGGCCCGGAGCAGACAGGCCTGGAACAGCTCGCTCCTCGCCTGCCTCTGCCCCAAGGCTACCTCTCAGACATGGCTGGAAACTTTGGGGGGAACTTGAGGGTCTGCTGAATCAAATGAGGAAAGCTTAGATCTGGATGTGTTGAGTTAGTATAGCGCTGGGGTGTTGATCTGTGAGTGCCTTGTATGGGGCCTGGATGGGGTTGGTTGATCTATTTGGAAATGTCTTTTGTGTGAAGTGTATCATTGGGCATGTGGAGGTATTATTGATATGAGAAAATGCTAAGTAACTGATTTACTCTCTGAAAAATTTAAAGTTCTGAAAGTTCAATGTTTCTTGCCAAAAAGAGGTTTTAAAGCTAACACCTTAATTTTAATGGAGAAAGGGAATGACAAGCCCTTCCCACCCAGAACAGGTAATCCAATTCCAACCAGCAGCTATGTTTAAACAATGTGTCCATTTACACTTGAATGGCTACACCTCTGGTAGCCTAAGGGCAAGTTTACATGTAAACAAGTTTGCTCTCAATTCCCAGGGCAGAAAAAAAACAAGGTTTAAAATTATTAGATTTTAAAATTTATTCTTAGAAGTGTAAAAGTTTATTAATTAAAAAAAAACAATAACAACAACAACAACAAAAGGAGATTGAAAAAGCTGATGAACAATAATAGCAGTTCATTGTAGTAGAGTCGGTGATATGGGAGGGGAGTGGACTGACTGTTCTGGGGGGGGTGGGGTGTGTGGAAGGGATGGAGGAAGAGACTGAACATAAACTGTGCACCTATGGATGAGGACAATGGGGGGTGGGGAGGGGGCGGAGGGTGGGGTGGGAACCTGGTGGAAGGGGGAAGAAATGAGGAACCTTTGTAATAATATGAACAATAAAGATTGATATTAAAAAAAAGAAGGAATATATATATATATATATATATATATGTATATATATATATATATATTAAAATAAATAAATAAATAAATAAATATGCACCCAAAAAAAAAAAATTTCTCAGTGATCTTGATCATGATAATTTGTCTTTTCTCAAAGACTCAAAATAAACCACCAACTTAGTTTGCATGAAGCTAATTAGTTAGGGGTTTGTTTTCCTTCAACAGATCATTCTGCAACTATTGTTACCATAGAGGATGAAGATGAGAATAAATTCGTGAGCAGACTGATAAGGGAAAATAATAACATTACCATGAGAGTTTGGCTTGGATTATCTCAGCATACTGCTGGTAAGTGACATCTTTGTCTGTGCAGTGTGCAAAGAGAGCTCTGACTTGTCCTAAATACCAAGTCAGCCTTGCTGAAGAATGTCAAATGGTATTTAATTCAAATGCTTCTTATTGATGAGTAAGCTAGGTCTGCTGGCTGTTTTCAAGGCTTATAAATTCCTAATGAATAAGTGGATAATTTATTAGTAAGGATGGAAAACACTGATGCAATAGAAAATAAGTTGAAACCAACTGGCATTGTTAGAAGTTTAAGATACTTAGACCAATAGGATCTATTTTTCTTCTACAGCAATATCTGTGTTCGCCATGCCCTACAAGGAGTCTTACTTCCCTTAGAGTTCTCATGTCTAACACCCCAAGTTTTCCCAGTTTATAAATATGTTATTCAGAAAGTTCTTTTCTTGTTCTTTCCCTCCCTCTTGGAATATTTTTATCATAGAGAAAAAATTTCATCTTCATAGCAATTTGTTTTATTTTTGAAAATAACTATAAAATTGTAAAGTATTGATTCAAAAAGATCTGTGGGAGAATCCTATATAAAAAGGAATCTATATAATAAAACCCTAATATGCAAATCGACCAAATGGCAGAACAACTGGTCGCTATGACACGCACTGATCACCAGGGGGCAGACACTCAATGCAGGAGCTGCCCCCTGGTGGCCAGCGCACTCCCACAGGGGGAGCACCACTCAGCCAGAAGCAGGGCTCACGACTGGCAAGCACTGAAGCTGTGGCGCTAAGGACCCCTCAGGGAATGTCTGACTGCTGAGGAGCAGACCTAAGCCAGCAGGTGGACATCCCCCTAGGGGTTCTGGACTGCGAGAGAGCACAGGCCAGGCTGAGGGACCCCGCTCCCTCCCGAGTGCAGAAATGTTGTGCACTGGGCTTCTAGCATTTCAACAAAGAATAACAGATGCAGGGTTTGAGTGAACTTGAAATTGATAATGAGTGAGTTCAGGGTAGAAACTCAATAGACGAATAGGAAGTCTGTTTCATATTTTATACAAAGTACAATTCTAAATATTTGAAATGTGAATTTCAAAATGTTAAGCACTTGTCAAAAAGAGACTTTGTTTGGGGCAGTGTACAGTTGATGTTTTGTGGCATTGTACACTTGAGACCTATATAATTTTATAAACCAATGTCATCCCAATAAATTCAATTTAAAAATAAATAATTAAAAAATTAAAAACTCAAGCTCTTTGCCCCATCTGCTGTGACTATGAAGTCCATTCTGAGCAGTCAGACTGTCAACAGCTCAGATAATGTCAACATCACTCTAAAGGACGTGCGGTTATTGTGAAGGGCCTCAGAGGCACATCATTCTCCCTGGGAAGAAGAAGAGGCTCTGGGTTGACAAATGGTGGGAAAATAGAAAGGAACTGGCCACCGTTAGCACCATCTGAAATCATGTACAGAACACGGTCAAGGGTGTTAGTTACACTGAGCTTCTATTACAAGGTGAGTTCTGTGTACCCTCACTTCCCCATCAATACCGCTATTCAGGGCAGTGGTTCTCTCGTTGAAGTAAAATTTCTTGGGCAAATAATAATCTGCAGGGTTCAGATGAGATCTGGAATTGCTTGTTCAGTATCTCAAGCCCGGAAAGATTTGATTCTTGAAGGAAATGACATTGAATTTTTATTCACATTAGCTACTTTGATTCAGCAAGCCACAATAGTGAAAAACACAGAGATCAGAAAATTTTTTGATGGTATCTGTATTTCTGGAAACAAAACAGTTCAGCAGGCTAATGAATAAGATCTAAGCTGCCCAGCTACAGAAACAGCAAGATGCCAAATTATTCCTCAGAATTAGTTGTGATATTTTAAAGATGCCATAAAAAACATATATTGATGAGGGGGGGAGATAATAAAAGTTAAAACAAAAAAAATAAGAATGGATTCAAAGTTGACTACTTATGAATTATAAGCTGTGTTTACACTATCACCACAAGGCGGTGCTGCCTCAGCTGGAAAATAAAAGGTGGAGTTAAGGTGGATGCTTCCTTCTCACGAACATACTTTAATAATGAGTTTTTTCACTGGGGGTAAGAGAGGGAGGGAGATAAAGGTCGGTAGAAATCTACTCTCTCGCAATAAATGTGCAGGAATCCTGCCCTTTAGTCAAAACACTGCATACTCTATCCGTGTTGTCTAATAGAACTTTCTACATCTGCCCTGTCCAGTATAGTAGTCACTAGCCACATATAGCAATCAGGCACTTAAAATGTGACAAGTGCGACTTGTTTTACATTTTTTCACTTTTAATAAATTTCATTTTAAGTAGTGGCACAACACTGTATGAGCTGCAAGCCTTTTTACTTTAGTAATTTAGTGACAGTAAACATAGTCATATTTGATTTCCTTCTTTAGATAAATCTTGGAATTGGTTAGATGAATCAAAAGTGAAATTTGTCAAATGGGCAAATAAACGAAGGAGTAACGGTGGAAAATGTAGCGTTTTGTTAGCCTCAAATGAAACTTGGATAAAAGCTGAATGTTCACATGGCTACGGACGAGTTGTCTGCAAAGTCCCTCTAGGTAAGTATGGAACCTGTCTTTCGGAAACGTTTTTGCAGAACGGGTTAGAAAATAAATGTACAATTTAATAATATGCAAAGGGTTGTCCTAGGCCCTAAAGCATTTGGTCCTTACAGTGTATTAATAAAAATAAAAATAAATCTTAAGTCATAGAGATTCTTTCCCTCAGAAAACTAGATTATCAAAGATGATAAATGCACCAGGTGCCTAGGACTTCCAGAGGAAATGACTAAAAGCCTCAATTTTATACAATTCTTTCCTAAGGAAAATGGAAGCTGCCAGAATTGTCAGATAGGTCAATTCTTTGAAAATGTTCTTAAGATGTGTTTCATTCTATAGTTTAAATATTTAAAAGCTCAAAGATTAAATTCTGCAATTTGCTTCCTTCTTCCTCAGTCCCTTGGAACTCATGATTACCTTAACAGCATTCCAAAAATTGATTGATTAATTAGAATTACTTTGGATGTCTGTAAGAAATCACAATTTGGACTTACTTTTCAGCATGAGTTGATATATAAAATAACCATAAAAATCTTGATGTCTAGCCAAAGAGCTCTAAATTTTTTCACAGCACCATTTTTAAAGATCTAGCATGAAGGTGTCTATCAGTATCTGTATAATCACTCACTGGTTCAGCAGATATTTTGAGCCTCATCTCTACGTCACGCCCTGTTCCATGTGCTGGGTGGACCTGGGAACAAGACGAATGAGATGCCTTTTCTTCAGAATCTAGTGGAGGGAGACAGATCATACGTAACCACCACACAAACCCATATTTAGAAGAGAGGAAAGTATCAAATTGTCATAAACTATGTGATTGGGACTAGAGAGATAGCTACTCTCGGTTGGGTTATCAGGGAAGATGTCTAAGAGCAGGAGACATTGAAGCTTCAATTTCTTTGTAAGAAAATTGCTATACTAATGAAAAGGATTTGCATGAAAAGGAAAATAAATTGGGGGGGGAAAGCACTTAAGTGTTTGGTGGTGATTTTTAATTGTGTTCATGCTCTGACAATCAAATACTTATTGGATCTAATCTGTACAAGGTTTGCTTATGTGACACACTGCCAAATGCATAAAATTAATAATATAATCGCTTTTATATTCTCTCCTCCAATGTCAAACCTTCCCCTGCTCTAGGCTCTGATTACAGAGGAATATTTATTGCTTTCGCCGTGCTAATCATCTTAGCTCTCATCAGCGGACTGGTTTGGTTCCTCTTCCAAAGAAAACGTATGCACTGGGCAGGCTTCTCTTCCGTCCGATATGAACAAGGAGTGAATGAAGATGAGATTATGCTTCCTTCTTTCCAGGACTAAATTCTTCTAAAAGTTTGCTAATTTGCACTAACATGTTAGGGAAAATGAGCCATTTAAAAATTTTTCCAGTGTCAGTATTTAGTCTCTTCCCAAGTACTTTTTCAATTGTTGAAGTTGATATTCTGGTATCCATGTTTAATTATTCAAACATGCCATGCATATAACTCTACTGAACAGAATGGAAAGGAACTAATTTTAATGTGCCTTTTCTCTGTAAGAATGTGGTTGGTAACTAGAATACGTATGTTTTAATGACATTTTAACATAATGTCTCAAAATTTAAATTGGTGTATTACTAGGTCATACATCTCCCTTTTAATTTTTATGAACATCTGGCCAAATGCAAAATTAGTACCTCAGGGTAAAAACAGAACTCTAAGTAATGTCAACATTGTTTTAAAATATCATTTGTAGCATTTGAGGGAAAGTATTAAAGGAGAGGTGTGCTTATTTTTTGCACAGCAAAATGGTACCTCCTAGCAAAATGATTCTTATACTAGTCCAAATACATTTTATACAAAATTACTTAAAGGTAAAATTTTGTTCCATTTATAATTATTCATAAAACAGTGACTGTTAAAGATTTGGTACTTAATATTTTTCTCATGTGAGAACTCTGTTATTAGTTTGATTAGATAACCTTGTAGCAGTATGGGTTTGTTGTCTTAGGTACAACATATACCTGTTTCCTTTTTAAAGGGAATCAGCTAAGAGATTTTGAAAATTTTACAATTTATATAATGTACATGATATGTCAACTTTTGACTAACAATTTTTTTTTATTTTTTTTTTACTTTATAGTGAGCTAAAGAGAAGTAGTCTGTGAAGGAAAGTGTATATCTTGTAATTGTAAAAATGAAAATTATACAATGAAACTATAAACTTTGTGATTACTACTAAAATATTTAAAATTATGAATGATTAAGGAAACACTGTTTTGGGTTGCCACTGTACATTTTACCACTAAAGATCTATTCTTAATAACTTCCACTGGACCTGGTGAATGTTTTATTCAACGTTTAATTTATATTTGTACGTTAGAGTATTTTTGTATAAAATCCACAAATTTATTTTAAAGTTTAAAATTTTTATGCTATAATAAAATTGTAAATAATTATCTAAGACAGGTTTAGTATAAACTAAAACTATATTGTAGTTGTTCTGAAATATTTTTTATTAAATTTGTTAGACCAGTTATTTTGCACTAAGATTTATACACTTTTAGTTATTAAGACTTTCTTCAAAGAACTAAACTGACGTGATGTGAAAAATTCAGCTATACTAGGATACAGTAGTGATGCTGCAATAAAGTTGTATTATTTTTTAAGTAAAAATGTTGTTGATCCTTGTTTTAAAAAAATCTCTAAATTGGGCTTTATTGTGTTAGGTATACAGTAGGACAAGAAATAAAGTGAGCAGCTATTGTAAAGCAAAGAATTCCTTAGATTCTGTGTGTATTTTTTGAAGAATAAATATAATCACTCCTACATTTCTGAATGTTTGGTTTTAGTCTCTTTTTCAGATTCGTCTGAATCAACATGTCTTTTAACTATCAGATCAGCAGAAATTCCATTTATACTCCACTTCTCATTCTTTTCACTACCTTCCATCCCAAGGCATTCAACCTCTTCTAAGTCAATTGTCCAACTCCCCCTGGACAGTCTACATGAAAGCCCTCTCAGCATGACCAGAACTGCCCACATGGTGTTCCCTTCCCATTTCCTCTGTTCAGATGCCTTGGGGGAATTGAAGACAGCCTTCCCTAACAAATCCAGCCCCCACACGTGGTCTGACAAAATCAATCTCTCAAACTTAGGCACCTGAAAATGTAACCAAACAGACCTGGCCATCAGGTCTCTGAGACAAATTCAGAAGTGATGCCATGATCAGCCTCTTTCCCCCTATTTCCCCCCACACATAGCATGTTCCCCTCCCTGATCCTAGGATAAGACACCCTAGCTCTCCGGGAATTCTGCCCCGCAAATGACTGCTGCAGTGTTGGTAGCCCCCAGTCCTGACCCCACTGCTGAGTTTATGCTAGGGACAGTCAGAGGTTCAGATTTTTCTGTATTATGCTCATTTAATCCTAAAACCTTCTTGGAGAAATGAAGATCTGTTATTAGTTCAACTGTTTTATCTTGCTTAAGGTGACAAATTTTAACTAGATCTCAAAGACATTTTTTTTTTCTGCAAGACCTCATGAGCTGTTATTTACTCTAAATTAAAATATTCTTCCAATATCCACAGCTCAACAAATTTACTTTATACGTGTTTCTCTTTTTTCCAAGCTAAATTAATCATGAGCAGAACTTTGGAAACTTTTTTCTATTCCCCTATCCAGATTTTTCTTATAGTCTCTGTCCATTAATATGAAGACACCATATCTCTTGTCTCCCAAGCTATAAACTCAGAGGTTATCCACAAATCCTTTCTCATCTTCCTAATTCAACAATTCTGTCAATTTTACCTAAGACTTCTCACCGAGTGGCTATCTCCACTATTAGCTGTCTTAGTTTAGTCTTTTATTTTTTTTATCTCTCTGCCAGCAGGGAGAAGATGCAGGGAAGAGAGCAGGAGTCACTATTGGAAGAAAGTCTTGGGGAAGATGTGATGAGAGGGGCAGTTCTAAGCCCACAGGAAGAGGAACTAGGTCGGGATGGGATGCAAGAAAGAATGCCTTCCCCCTAGGGTCTTGGTTCCTTAGCCAAATACCCTTTTAATACAATGTAGGATCAAGTCAATATTGATCAATTGCTAAACCACAGAGAGGAAAGGTCAGATAAAACAGACTCTAAGAATTAGGAAAACTGGTGATCTTAGCCAATCGAAATGCAGCGGAGTTGTGGGGCCAGAACCAGATGAGACTGAGCTAGAAAGTGAAAGTGAAATTAGGAAATGGAGAACTTGAAATTTTGAGAAGTATGATGGAAATGGGAAGGAGAGAGATTGGGCCATAGCTAGAGGAAGGAGGGGGTTGAAGGTTGATTTTTTTTTTTTTTTCAAAAAAGATGGTAAATAGTTTACAGGTTTAGAAGCTGAGGGGGAGAGGAGGACAAAACAAAAAAAATAGCTGGCAGAGAGAAGATGCCAGCAAGAGAGCAGGAGTCATTAATGGAAGAAGGTCTTGGAGAAGCTGGGATGAGAGGGGCAGTTCTAAGCTCACAGAAAGAGGAACTGGGTTTGGGTGGGATGGGAGGAAGAACGCCTTCCTCTCTGAGGCCACAGAGGAGGGTTTGCAAGAAAGAGAAGGGGAGAGCAGGTGAGTATTTTACAGTGTTTGTCCACCCGGTGAGAAAATGAGTAGTGAATGGGGCCTCAGCCTGAAGAGAGTAATAAAAAATTTGAATACCTGATAAAGGGAATAGGAGAGGACAATGACCAAGACAAAAATAGATGGAGGATGCCCAGCCAGTGTGGCTCAGTGATTGAGCATCAACCTATGAACCAGGAAGGAGATCATAGCTCGATTCCTGGTCAGGGCATATGCCTGGCTTGCAAGATCAAACCCCAGTGTGGGGCATGCAGAAGACAGCTGACCAATGATCCTCTCTCATCATTGAAGTTTCTATCTCTCCCTCTCCTTTCCTCTCTGAAATCAATATATATTGAAATTTAAAAGCCATATATTTGTAGTGACAACCTATGTAGAACTACCATATGTTTCAGTGATCTTACTTCTGGGTGTGTAGCCTAAGGAAATGAAAACAAGATCTCAAAAAGATACCTGCACCACCTGGTTCATTATTTACAACTAGAGGCCCAGTACGCAAAATTTGCAGGGAAGGGGGTCCTGTCATCACCACTGCGCTCACCAGCCTGAGCCCGGCTTCTGGCTGAGCAGTGCTCCCCTGTGGGAGCGCACTGACCACCAGGGGGCAGCTCCTGCATTGAGTGTCTGCCCCCTGATGGTCAGTGCGTATCATAGTGACTGGTTATTTCACCTTTCGGTCGATTTGCATATTAGTCTTTTATTATATGGGATAGCCAAGATATGGAAACAACCTAAGTGTCCTTTAATGAATGAATGGATAAAGATGTGATATATCCATTGAATATTATGCAGCCATGAGAAAGAAGGAAACTGCCATTTTCAACAACATATGAACCTTGGGGCATTTTGCTAAGTGAAATCATACAGACAAAGACAAATACTGTATGATCTCACTTATATTTGAAATCTAAAAGACTGAACTCAGAAAAAGAGATTAGAGGGGTGTTTACCAGTGGCTGGGGGAAGGAAAAATGGGGAGATGTTGGACAAAGGATACAAACTTCCAATTGTAAGATTAATACATTCTCAAGATTTAATATACAACCTGGTGATTATAGTTAACGATACTTTATTTTGTGCTTGAAAGTTGCTAAGAGTAAACCTGAAATGTTTTTACCATAAAAAAGAAATGGTAATTATGACATACAAGTATTAGCTAACAGTCGCAATCATTTTGTGATATGTAAGTGTATCAAATCAACATGTTGTACAACTCAGACTTACACAATGGTATGTCACTTATATCTCAGTGACACGGGGAAGACTTTTATTTTTATTTTTATTTTATTTTTTTTTAATCTCTCCAATTATTTTTTTCTTTTTTCTTTTTTTATTTTATTTTATTGATTTTTCACAGAGAGGAAGAGAGAGGGATAGAGAGTTAGAAACATCGATGAGAGAGAGAATCATTGATCAGCTGCCTCTTGCACACCCTCTACTGGGGATGTGCCCGCAACCAAGGTACATGCCCTTGACCAGAATCGAACCCGGGACCTTTCAGTCCGCAGTCCGCAGTTCGCTCTATCCACTGAGCGAAACCGGTCCCGGCAAGACTTTTATTTTTAATAAGAAAAAAAAGAGGGGGGGGGAAGAGACCCAGGTTCATTGGCAGGTAGATATAGCAGAGGAATGAGAGAGAGCATGATATCCAGGCTAGATGAAGAAGGGAGAAATAAAAGCCCTGAAAAAATGAAGTTCAGGGCCTGGGGCCTGGAATGAGATCAAAGAGAAGGCAAAGTGGAGTGTAAGACAAGTAAAAGGTATGTGGTGTGGCAGGAAAGTAGGGCATAATAGTGAGAGACTTTAAAAAAAATACCACATCAATCCACGCAAAGGAGTAGCCTATTTTGTCATATTAGCAACTAAAAATGAAGTGTGCACCAGAGTTAACAGTGGGGGGAAAAATACCTTTTTTTTAGTTCAAGTGACTTAAGAACAAAACACTATTGAAATAGATGATTTGTTTAAAGTAAATTGATTCATTAGGATGCCACTTCTTTGTAAACCTAATCATTATTTGAAGTTTATTTTAATGCAAAGTAATCCTCATAGATAAAACTATACTTTGGTGCCTGAGGGGGGCGGGCAGCGGAGAGAACTTTTTCAATTACACAATTGCAAAGAATTGTTTGTTTTAGCCCAGCCTGTGTGGCTCAGTGGTTGTGCATTGGCCTATGAACCTGGAGGTCACTGTTCAATTCCCAGTCAGGACGCCTACTGGGTTGTGGGCTCATTCCCCAGTGTGGGGCGTGCAGGAGGCAGCCAATCAATGATTCTATCTTGTCATTGGTGTTCTATCTCTCTCTCCCTCTCCCTTCCTCTCTGAAATCAATAAAAATCTATTTTTAAAAAAGAATTGTTTACTTGTGTAGTTAGCAAGACAGAAGAATCCAGAATTAGAATGTTTAAATATATAAACATAGTGTGCCTTTGGAAGGATTCACCTCAGATGTGAATTTAGTACATAAACCCCTTACTGATAGCCAGAGAAGAAGAATGGAAATAAATTGAACAAGATCTTGATATTTTGGCAAAGGGGCTGAACCTGGTGTGGGTAGGACAGTTCAGCAGGAGACGAGGACTTTTGGCATTCACTGTGTGTCCACAGTCAGTCATGTTCCTTCAGTGGGCCTCCATTTCCTTATCAGTACATGAAAATGGCCCCTGTCACTTCTGACACTCTGACTGTCCTTATAGGCCTTATTGGTCAGATTTCCTTGGTGTAACCACTCCCCTTCAGACTGGACTACACAGGCATGGAAAGGGGGTTAGAAAGGATGGGAAAGGGTTACACTTGATGTCTTTAGAATATAAATTAACTACCTTAAAAATCAGTTTTAGGTTTATAAGAAGTTGAGCAGGAAATATACCGAGTTCCTATATACTTCCTTACCTCTCTTTCTCTTTCCCCTATTATTAGCATCTGGCATTAGTGTACTAAAATTTGTTAAAATTGATGATCCGATATTGATGCAGCATTAACTAATAGTTTATTAACTAAGTCCATAGTTTGCATGAGGGTTCATCTTTATGTTGCACATTCTGTGGGTTTTGACAAATGTATAATGATAATATAATATATGTACCATCACAGTATCATACAAAATAGCTTCACTGCCCGAAAAATCCTCTGGGCTCCACCTACTCACGTCTCCTTTCTGTCCTCCTCTTCCACCACCACCATGATTATCTTACTGTTGCCATAGCTTTACCTATTC